TCTTGCTGGAAGTTTTTCAGAAGTTAATTTCTTTGGGGAGCTTTTCACCCTGGGGTGAATATCAGAGCCTGGTAATTTGGCAGCTGATGGAGAGACCTTTGTGGCTAGAGGTCAAAATGCTAGTACTGGCTTAGTTAAAGGCTACCAGCCTCAGTTGTCTGAAGTCTTTTAACATCTGCTGTTTTGGTCATCCCTCTCTTGTTTGCAGGCTGAATGGCTCCCTGTCTGCCCACCCTGAGAAAGATGAATTGATCCTTTTTGGAGGTGAATATTTCAATGGCCAAAAAGTAATGTATACTTCCATTTTTTTCTTCTTTATTCTGCCCTTCCCCTGCCTTATGCTGTAATTTGCACGAGTCTCATTTGAAGTGAAGATTCAAAGCAGCAGTCATAAAATATGCATTTGTCCCCGAATGAGAGCAAAATAGCCTTTTAATTCTGCCACGATACTGTCTTATGCCTGATCGGTTGGCAGGAAGGAGACATGCTAGAATCCATTAAGAAGTCAGAGTGATTGTCTCAGCATCAATATTTCAGGGCTTCATAATTTCTCCAGACTGAATAGTAGCCATCTCTGCCCCTCATTTTTGATAACTATTGAAGAATCTCTATTTTCCAACTTTCAAAACAAGATGTTTCTGCAGTTTTGCAGCTGGCAAGTCATTGCCTGCCTTGGAGATGCGTACAGTAGCAAATAAGTGGGCACTCTTTACTGAATTTCTGCAAGTTGCAAGTGTTTACAGTGCTGCTGGAGACAAATTGGGCATTCCAACCTTGAGAAGTTGTGTGTACCATAGCTTGAATGCTCAAGCCCAACGATGATATTTAATCTGAGGATCATCCCGTGTGATGTGCTAAACAAATTCTGCTTGTTTCACTACCTGATGTTATTCCTGTCTCCGCAGTTGAGCAGCATTTCGGGCAGCATTAATCTGTACATCTGTGTTAAGCTCCAGCTTAAGTGCTGAAATCTCAAGCTGTCACAGGGTTAAACGAGAGTTTGGGAGAGAACAGCTGAGTCGAGAGGCTCACACTGAGATAACTGTTGACTACCAGTCTAGTGGGAGAGGTTCTTTTTCTCCTTCCCTGTGTGATGGAGGCTGGTGAGTTGTTGCTTTGCAAGGCTGTCGCTTTTCAAGGCCAGGTTGGCTGTGGCTTTGAGTAACCTGATTTAGTGGAAGGCATCCCTGCCCAGGAGGTGAGGGGTTGGTCTTTAGGTTCCCTTCAACCCCGACCATTCTGTGACTCCAAAGGGAAAGCTGGTACCGTGCACCTTTAACACCAAACTCACAGCTAACCCTGAGTGGTGCTTGTGCTTGGGTAGACTAATCCTGTCCTATGGAGAGCTGTGTTGATGTGTATCTTTCTTTTCCTCTATAACAGACGTACCTGTACAACGACCTGTATCTTTACAACATCCGGAAAAACAGCTGGACTAAAGTAGAGATTCCCAACCCTCCCCCAAGGCGCTGTGCTCACCAGGTGAGGTGCAGGGTGCCAAAGAAGCAGCTGGAATTTTTCTGATGCTGTGCTAAAAATGAATGGGAGTTGACTTTTTTTTTTTTCCCTAAGAGTTTCTGGCTTCTGTGCATTTTCATTGTAATGGGCTGCCAGTGGTGTCACCTTTCTTGTTGTGCTAACGGTGGTGCTCTTTGATCCCTGAGTGATGTCTGGAAATGCTACAGGGGAAGTGAAATATTGGAGGTGTATCTGTTATGTCAGCAGGACTCACGGGGAAGCTGTTTTTGTCTAGATGGACTAGTCATCTTGAGGCATTATATGGAAACCAGCTCAACCATTCCAGGCTTGTTCTGGATTTTCATTAGAATGTGACCAGATAGCTCTGGGGGCCTGGGTTGCTGTGTGTGATCAGTGGCCGCAGGCCTTCCTCTATGGGTGTTACAGATCCCACTGCTCCAGCAACAGCTCATCCCTGTAATATACCCTTGCTAGCATGTAGGATTGTCCCAACTGTGCAGCCAGATGCACTTTGTGTGCCCTGCCTTTGGCTCGGGATTTCATTTATTTAATTTCCCTTGGTAGATGGACTGTTTTTCTTCAACATCAGCAAAGATAGCAAAGTTGTGTGAACTTTCTCTGGGATATTTTGAAACTCCCTGTAGTGGCAATGCTAAGTCACAGCTTGAAGCAGTGATTGAGCACCTGGTGGGAAGGCAGGGCCAACCGAGGGGAGCTCAGGTGCGTGCAATGAACCTGAGTGACTGGAAGGGGTGGAGACATGATTTACCCCTTCCCAGCCCTCACGTAAGGGTTGGCAGTGGAGACAGGGGTATCTCTTGTTGGAGATCTTTGCTTAACTGAGGCCTTCTGAAGGCAAGCAGCTCTTTTCCTTCATTTCTGCGCCTGTGGCTGCTGCATTTGGGCTCGTTCTCTTTTGCTGCAGCCAAAGACTTTGCCACCCTGCTATTGTTATGATACTTTCCATCCCATTATAGCATTACACTTCCCTAGGCTTTGTATCTGTCACTAACATCACTGACTGGTCGTGATATTGAAGGATTTGTTTCTGTTTACTTTGTGTGAATGCCTGCATGCAGAAACTGGGCCAGAGACTTGTATTTTTTGCAGGTCTTTTGCCCTCACCAGCTGTCTGATAGATTATCTTACCTATTGCAGCAAGTGGCTGGGTGACTGATGCATTTCAAAAGCTGCCATACAGGATGCGAATGTTATTTTCCTCCCTGTGGCCAAAGCCCTTTAGAGCTTCCTGGTAAGATCTAATGCTCTGGTTAGGTTCCTGTACCCTTGTTATGCTATTGCCTAAATGCCAGCCTTGCTCTGAGCTCTGTGTGTGCTATCATGAACTGAAAAGCTTTGACTCGATGCTTGAGTTACCTTGTTGTGCTTAAAATTGATTGTTGTTTCAGAGGCCAAATTCCATAAGGAGGCCAGCAATTCAAATACTCCTTCCACTGAGGTGAGGAGGAGGTTGTTTTCTGGCTGTGGAGTTGAGAGGTGCTTGTTTGTGTGTTGGCAGCCAGCAGGTGGCTGTCTAACAGCTCAGTCTGAACTGAGCAAGCAGGCTGGATTATAGAGAAATAAAATGAGGAACATACCAGGGGAGCTGTGCCTTAACAACAAGTTTTCTGTCTTACAATTAATCACAGTCACACAGGAGGCAGTTCAGCCTTGTTAGCTGAATGGCTTGTTGTCTTCCCTGTGACTTTATTTTTAACACATTTTCCATGTTAGCTTAGAGGTGAATAGAAGTTTGTCTGTGGGTTGGTATGGGCGTGCTTTCCTTCTTGTCATCTGTAGTCTCTGATGTACGGCCCTCTGACTTATGCTGGCTTCACCACATCAGTTCAGTAGAACTGGGGTGAGAAAACCAACATGGATGGCTGTTGTCAGCTTTATTTGAGGAAAGATTTTGTCTGTGAGATGAGCTTGAAGCCAGCTCTTCGTGAAGTTGCATGCAAGCATGGGCAGGCTGGTGTCTGTCCCTTCACTTAAACTTTTAATCACTTGATGCCCATGGAGAAATGGGGTAACCTGATGTTCCCACAATTCCTGCTTGTACACACACCCAATATTTTCTGATGTATGTAATCACTGCGTGCATGGGCTGGTTTGGGTCAGAGTGCTGTCGTGTTTGGTGCTGGAAGTCTTTGCTGTTTGCTGGAAAACACAGGCAGGTAGTGAAGCCCTTCTGAAGAGACTGTTAACTCAGTGTTTATCTGTGACAGGTATCTTGGGGAGAAAAAAGATGTGAAAGATTTTTTTTTTTGTAGTGTAACCACCCCTGTAGCCAAGGAATAAAGTTGTATGTTCACTTGGTTTCATTTTTGGGATTCCTGTCTTTTGCTGCTTGGTCCTGGTGTTCTTCATTCCTTGCCTCTTAATATTCTCTTGTGTTACAGCAGGGTGTTTCAATGCTGCTCCTTGCAGAAACAGTAAAACAAATTCTTTAATGCTCTCTTTTCTGCTACTTGCTTTAAGACAGTTACAATTCTCTCTTGTTCAAACACTGCACACTTCCTTCTGTTGGTGATTGTTTCTTTTCTTTGTTTTTCTTTCTTTTTCTTTCTCATCACATAGAGCAATAATGCTTTTCAGGTCGTGGAAATGTTCAGGTTTGGACTTGCACTCAGCTCATTGGTTTACTTTGCTGTAGGGAAGGTGTGCAACACAGCGACCAGCTTAGGTTTAAAATTCCCCTTCATTCAGCCCCGCAGAGCTTCTTTTCCAAGCAGTGCAGCAGCAGCTGCTGCAGTTTGTCTGCTTTGTGGTATTTGGAGGCAGCTGCACATCTGACTGATAAAGTTCTCCTTTTTCTGGCTTTTGCACTCTTGTTTGATCCTGTTCTTTCCTCTGGCAGGCAGCAGTGGTTCCCACAGCCGGTGGGCAGCTCTGGGTGTTTGGTGGAGAGTTTGCATCTCCCAGTGGGGAACAGTTTTACCATTACAAGGATCTCTGGGTCCTGCATTTGGCCACCAAGACCTGGGAGCAGATCAAGTAAGTGGTGCATTCTCAAGTCAGTAACAATAACCTCATGAGGAACTGTGTCAGCACGGTCTGAACTCGGATCCTGGTGTGGTGCTGTGATTTCCCAGCTGTCTTCTTTGGGTATGAAGATGCCCATGTAGAAATAGTGGAGACAGCCTTCAGAAAAAAGAAGCAAGAGATGTGTCCAAGACCATCGAGGTCAAAGCTATTTTGTATAATGCATGGCTATTAGAGCAGGGGTATTGGGTCTTAGTAACTGAAGAAATGAGCATGCTGAACACTGTTGTGTTCTCCCAGCCAAGGCAGATGTAGGTATCCAACTTCAAAACACTACTTGTTGCTCCATTTGTGTTCTGAGCCTGGTATCATGGCTGTGCTGTACAAAAGATCTCATTCAGTTTTACCATTGCTTGAGAAGGCAGTTGGTATCTATCCACAGAGACAACTTCTCTCCTGATAACTGGCATTTGCTGCTGCCTTAAGATTCCTTGGAATAAACAGGCCAGGAATTCTGATCTATCAAGGTAAGTAGGTACCAAAAACCATGGAAGCTTTTGACTGGAGTAAAGGCACCTAAAAATATTTTGTGGGTCTGGCCTGAAGTCTTCTGCTAATGTTTGGCTTCTGAGTTTTTTCTGCTCATCTTCATATTTGCATTAGGGAAGGAAAAAGTCTGGTGGGTCAGCTGGTAAACTGAGAGGCAGGAGACGTGGCTTCGGTTCTGACCGTGGCACAGGCTTTCTTTTGTACTTCAGGATTGTCTTGACCACAGCATTTAGCCAGAATACAGCCTTGGCTGTGCTGAAACTCCTCCACAGTTGACTCTTGAGGTGCTACTGGGAAAAGCATCAGCTTTTGAATGCTTGCTCATCTACTTTTTATCTGTCGAGCTCCTGAGCAGGAACTCTTGTGTCCTTTCTTCAGGTGGGAAAGCCCTAAGTGTGCCCAGGCTAATCAATTTTTTGCCCTGCTTACAAAGTGCAGGTGCCTGTTGTTGGTGTCTGTCCTTTCTTGTGTGATGATTGAGAGGCTGGTTTAGGGCTGAGCTGTGCAGAGATGGATACCTTGGCACATGCCTCAGGCCACACAGTGACTCACTGTGCCTGTCTGCCTTTTTTTCCCCCTTTTTGCAAAATGGGAGCACTGATGTTGCTTGATGAGAGGGAATTTGGAGGTTTAGTTTTGTTAATATAGCACTGAAAGGACTCTGGCATGGGTGTAGTGGGTCATACTGAGCCAAAGAGCAAATAGTCCTGTTGAGTCCAGAGTGCACTGGGTAAAAAGGATGCTTCAAGGCACAGGATCCTGGCAGTCATCATCCCTGCAAGAGTCTAGCAATGGTCTTTTTGAGTACTTCTGGGAGGCTGGGGGGAGAGCTGCTCAGTTCCTCAGTGACTGGTTCCTATCTGACAGTGTGATCCTTGGCTCCAGACCTGGCAGTGTTAGTCTAATAGCAGCTGCAACTGTTACAAGGAACTGAGTTTACTCTAGTGAGCCCTGCTTGTCTTTCAGCAGTGGGGGGTGGGGGTGAGGGAATCTCTGCAAAATGATAGAGGGCTCTTTAAGAGGTGCAAGGATTAAAAAGACCTGTCACTGTGCAGGCAGATCTGCCTATTGTTGTTAGGCAGAAGCTGACGTCATGGCTGTGACTGTACCCCTCCCAGCTCCCCCAAAATAACTTCTGAATCCCTTGTTCCATCTCAGCCACGTAAAGGGGGTTAGAACTCAAATGCATTACATCCCTTCTAGTTTCGTGAGAGAAGGCGGGGGAGAGGAAGTGATGATACCCATGGAGGCTCTGCTGAGAGAAAGGGTTGACATTTCAACCAAACTCTTGGTTGGAAAAAATCCTCACCAGAGAGCAATGTTAATACCCAGCTGCAGGGAGAGCGAGGGCGGGAGATGGCTTTTTGTGAGCCATCAGAGAACCCAGATGAGGCTTCGTGAGTTCCACCAGTGATGGTGCAGATTGTTCTCTTGTGGGTTTGCAGATGTGTTGCTGTGAGCTGATTTAGGGTTTTCCACTCCCAAAACAAATGCTGCAATGTCGAACCTGCTTGGGAAGAGGAAATCTGGTCGTTAGAAGGCTTTACTCATCTTGCATCTTATCCCTCATGGCATGGGGGTGCTGAGTCTTACTGGTACTGCAAAATCGCCTACTCCCACTCTGCAGCTGAACATGATGTTTGCATGTGCTGCAGTGTGCAGGGCAGCATCAGCAGTCCCAGGCCCCAGGTGGATTGAGCCATGGTGAGGGAACTTGTTGGAAGCCTGTGATGGGTTAATGTGGTTAGTGAGGAGGGAGAAATTGATCAGATGAGCTCCTGCTCTCAGGATAAGCAGAAGCACATTCCCAGTGCTTTGCTTTTCCAGCTGTCTGAAGCTGCTCACCACCCCTGGGTTATCCCGTGTCACTTCAGCAGCCATGACACAGTAGAAGGATGCATGGGGAGGCTGTGATGCTCTGTTCTCTTCATAGCTAAATGGGTAAACGTTTCCAAAGTTTGCTCTGGAGAGGCTGTTGTTCCTCTTTCTCTACGCCATGCAGGATCAACTCCGATTGAGTTTTCTGAGGTATTTGGGTGGACATCTGTCTTTTGGCCTTGCAGTATTTTGAAAACACCTGTGCCCTGGTCCCAGTGTTCAAATAAAACAAAGTGCATCTTCTCCTCATCCTTGGGCAGAGCTCCAAGAGCTACATTAATTAGGCGTCTGGAGTAGGAGGCTGTGAGGAGATGTCTTGGTTTTAATGCTAACTTGGCTGAGTGTGAAAATCAGGTTTCTGCTGCCTCTTTGTGTTTCCATATGGCATCACGATGACAGCCTGCTTGGAAGGGGAAGAAGAAAAGAAAGGACAGTGATGATTGTTGAGTTTTATGAGGAATGTTTTTGTACTTCTTTATGATTGTCACACATGCTGTATTGTGCTTCCTTCAGCAATTTGTTTTTATCGGCAAGGACTCCACTGCTGCCTCATACAGTTCCATACAAGCTTCTCATGTCTGTCTGGAGCCAAACGCTACGTTTGGACTGGGGATGAGTGATGATAGTGAGTATCTTGAAGGGTTACTGGTGTTGGGAAGGTAAATGTTTGGGAAGATGGAATGGGTGAGGCAACTTGTGTAGCCTTGTTGGCATAGAACAGGATACCAAATAGCAGGCAAAGCACTAATTACAAGTGTCCAGTGTGGTAACAGCTACCTGAGTAAACCCTGTTGATAAACATTTGGGAGACAGAGTGTTATTTAGTAGACTCGGTTGGGTCTGGGAGATGTCACTTCAGTGCAGAAAAAGCAGTAATTTTGTTACTCTAATAAGAAATGCTTGGATGAGAGAGACAAGGTTTCCATCTCCACTCCACCTGGGATGGATCACCCAGCTTCAGTTGAGTTGGAATGAGTTTGTAGAACGGAATTAGTAGATTAAATGGCTAAAATGACCCTACTCTGACCTGAACTTGCAGTTCTAAGAAGTCTGGCTATTCCAGCCTCACAGCTTAGATTTCAGACAGCTGTGTTGTCCTTTCTGGCCTGCAGATTCTGTGAGAGACCATCTTGGTGCTCTAAGAAGCTTGACTGTAAAATGCTTTGAAGAGAATCCCTTGAATAACTTACCCTGTGCTGTGTCTGCAAAGGCTCCTGGGGAAACTGATCTCCGTTACTGCTTAATGCAGAGCCACAGCGATGTCAGTCAGCTTGGCAGAGTTAAAAATTGACAGCAGCTCTATTTGGTTGCGTTTTGCCTGCACAGAGGTGGCTCAAATGCAACAAATCTCAGCTCATTGGATGACGTGCCAGAAAGTGACTTTGACTTACTGAGGCCACCTTATTATGTGTGCGATGTGTGAGGTTTCCCCAGTGTGTGAAGCGTTTGTTACTCTGCCTTGGAGCAAAGCAATATTTTAACCTAATTGCCTCGTTCCTTCCTAGAGAGAGCATTCCTCCTGTTCACCTCCGTGTGGCCCAGAATGCTCCCTCAAAGAGAAATGGGGGGTGTCACACATCAGGGCTGTACTTGGGAGCTGGCAGATCCCTCCATGCAGTTCTCCGCCTTGCTTCTGAACCTATGTAACTCCCTTCCCTGTAATACTGGGATGCTAATGATGCTTCACAGTTTTGTGAGACGTGGGGCTATAAATACTTCAGGGCAATGCAAGTGTATGTTGAGTGTTGTTTACGGGGAGAACTGGAGCAGTCACTGCAGAGCAGGATGCCTTTCAGTGTAGGTTTGTTTCTGACTGATGGCTCTTGTTCGTGTGCTCTCTGTCACCAGAAGGATCAGGTCCTGCAGCACAGGGTAAAAAGGTGTTTTGATGCTTAAAGAGGGGAGTTCTGGTGTGCTGTTGAGCAGATTTCCTTTGACAGACCAAAAGGGATCCTTCTGAGCTTCTTCTCTCCTAGAGGAAGATCCAGACATGTGACTGTTGATTGACTTTGCAAAGGATTTGATCTGGAGGTTTTGTGCCTCGTAGCAATTTTGTATTCACTTGTGTACCTCTGAATTAATTACACAAGCACATGGGTGCTATATCTCTGTGTGCTGATGAACAGAACACTTGTCATTTGCATTTACAAGTGTAAGATGCAAAACCAAACACCCAAGTCCTGGATTTCAGCTGCTTTGTGTAGTGCAGAACAGTGTGTGTTATCCTGGAGTGCCCCTTTGGTGGGATGTTGCATGCATCATCACTTTTCTTCATAACGAGAGGTTGCAGAGATTCTTCTGAACTTTCTCTGGGTGAAGGAAGGAATGAATGAAAGAGTAACTCATGCAGTCTGTAGATACTGCAGCATGGAAGTCATTAATTCTCAAAACTGGAGCTGAATTCAGATCTGCTATATTACTCTAAGTCCCAGAGTAACTCCACAAGCAACAGCAAATTCCTTATGGAGCAGTTGAGATCAGACTCATGCTTCCATGTGTAGAGCCAGTTCTTATCCAGACTTATCTGTTCATCTATTTTTAAAAAAGAGTCTGGAGAATTTACAGCTCCCTCCCACATGTCTGCTTTCTGGTGTCAACCCCACAAAGTAGTGTATTAATCATAACGTCTGTGAAACCATTTCCAAAATGTTTATTTTGGGCCACGAGCAGCAATGCAGGTAAAGGGAGACAGTCTGCATCTGGGAAGCAAGGCTCTGGGCAAATGCCTTCCTGGAGCTGCTGCTGCTCCTGCTTGACTCTGCTGTGCATTCTTATGGGCTGTGGAGCAAGCCCTGGGCTGTATGAATTGCTCCCTGCAAAAATACCTTCTAAGAGCACTTACTGCATGCTTAAGAGGGCATCTCTTTCCATCAAAGGCTATGAAGTGCCCATTGCAGCTGATTCCTGGATGGTGAGTAATGCTTAAGTTGATAAAGCTGAAATGACACAACAGGGCACAGCATGAAGCCTGCTGCAGCTGTGTTTTAGCATCATCTCGTGTAGCTTGCATCCATATTCTAGAGAAAAGAGGAGAACAGCCTTGTAATTGGGAGCAATTGGTGGTGGTGTGGTGGGACTCCTCTGAACTCAGATCAGGCCCTGTTTGGGATGGTGGTGGTTGTGACTTGAAGTTAATTGTACACTTGTAGGTGCTCGTTTATTACAGCACACGCATCAGTGAATAAATGTCTTACCACTCAGAATTGGTTTTTGACTTGGAGATGTGTTTGAGAAGCAAGGCAGAAGAACAAGAGAACAAGATCTTATTGTTAACGTCGACATCCAATTCCTTCTTTTTTATTTTTATTTAAAAAAAAAAAAAGAAAATCCAAGATTTTTAAAAGATGACATCCCCTGGAATAATGACATGAAAGTTTTGTTATGAAAGATTTCATCCACGTCTGAAATCATTGTTAATATGAAAAGTGATGTTCTGCTGGGTGGTACTTAAAAATCCAGTAAGTGCCTAGAAAATTCTACTGTCTGTCCTCATAAGAAATCCAAGAAATCAATATTCATTCAAGCTTACCCAAACACTGCTGTTCTGCTTGGGGTTCTTCATTATGGCTGGTGTGATTGTTATTTCTGATGGTGAGGCCCCTCATTTTCTCTCTCTGCAGAAATCTATCGCTGCTCTTTGCAGCTACCCACTGCCACGTATAGCACAGAAGTAGGGTTGGGGGTTTTGATTTTGCTGTTTTTTCTCAGTGGTGAGCAGGTTTCTCATTTATTTAAGCCCTGATTCTGCAGCCATCCGACATGCCTGTACCTCCTTGAGAAGCCTTACTGAGTTCAGTGCACTGTGGGAGACTCCTTAGCAAGACTGAAAACGTGAAAGATTAGTCCAAGGGGCAGAGAACGTGCAAAGCTCTTGTTTTCTCTGTGGTTTGCCCTGAACTAGCCTTTGTTTTGGGAGTTCTTCACGTTTTCTTTGTTCTCTCTCACATGAAGGCGTGACTGCAGGTGATGAAGAAGGAAAGTGCATCTTCATTGCCTCTCAGGAACGTTATTGCCAGCGGCCTGGCTTTGCCCAAAGCTTTAGGATGTGACAGATGGGGCGTTGTTGCTTGTTCTTGGAGATGGAAGTGGCACATCTCACTGAAAGGCCATGCGGGCTTGAAAAGAGCAGAGCAGTGATGTGTAGCTGCTCCTTTAATAAGTAAGATGATAATGATGACTTGTTTTGCCACTGTGCCTTCTGTTCTTGAGGAAACCTGAGTAATTTATCAAGTTTGGTGGTGTAGCCTAGCTGCAGGTTGTTGGGTGGGGGTAGAGTGGATAGGGGTGATTTCCTATGACAGTGAAGGAGGGTAGATATCAGAGCCAGTTCCTGGCTTCTATCTGCTACTTAGGGTAAACATCTCTGTCTGGAGTGCTTTTCTTGAAATTGTGGGAGTTAACTGCTATTCATTAAACTCTCCTGAAGAATTACCTCCTGAGTCATAGCAGAAAAGACTTCAAGACTCGGGTGCTGTTAAACTGTATGGTTTATCACTAGGAATAAAACTGTTATTGCAAAATGCCTGTGGTGCAAATATCAAGCATTACAATACCAAGCATTACAGGAAGAACGCATGTACTGTTCTGGAAAAAAACATACATCTATGTTAAGGTGACAAAGTTCCCTATGATTTCCCATGCCTGTACCAGAAGCTAAGTTCAGCCAGTCCAGCTGCCTTATGACTTCAATAAAAATGGGCTGACCCACTGGTAGGATGGGAAGCTCGCTGATGAGTGAAATTTCTTTGTCTTTCAGAGCATCAGGAGGTCCCTCAGGAAGAAGTGGGCATCGAATGGTTGCTTGCAAAAGACAACTGATAGTCTTTGGAGGTTTCCATGAGAGCACGAGGTGGGTTATTGCAGGATAGCTGGTGGTGTAGGATCCTGTGTGACTGAGACAACGTGATTTCACCAGCAACTGCAAGCTGGGCTATAAGGCCAGGATTTTATGTAGTGGTACTGTGAACAAATTATATAATTATATGTTAGAAAGATAAGTGATCTTGATTTTTATTGTTTTTATTTTTTTATTTTTTCCCAAGTCTTAACTGTTTGAGAAATGGTTTTGCCACTTACATAATCAGTGAAGTAGCTCCTCATCCTCATAGCTAAAGCTCAGTACATCGGTTTTGGATTCTGCCTCTCATCAAAGAGGCTTCTCTTCCTAGAAACATCTTCCCCAGTAGGCTCTCCTATGCCACATGAGGTCACAGCTTCTCTGTGATGAGGGCTGAAGAGAGCTGAGCTACATAATTTCTCAGAGGTGCTAAGCTGCATAACTGCAGTCCCCAGGAGCACAGCACAGTTTGCAAAGCCTACCCTACACTTGGCTGACCGTTTGGCAGTTTCACTGGTGCAGAGCACTTTCTATAGCAGTGAGTTGGCTACCAGGAGGAGAGTGTGTGTATATATGTGTATGTATACATTTTTCATTCCCACCCTCTAGACAGATGTTGCACTAATATGTTTTGATCGTTTGTGTTTTGGTTGAAGTCACCTTGGATTCTGTTTCTTGGAAGGAGTTGGTGAAAGCTCTGTTATAATAGGGAATGAGGTGGGAATAAAACAAAAAGAACCAGAGAGGTCATGCATGTAGGAGCTTCATTAAATGCATAATTGTTGCTCTGAAGTAGTAACCTTCAACTGAACAAATCTCTACATTGCCAAGGCTACAGAGGGAGGAAAAATCAGAGATATGGGGAGTTGAATAAGGTACTGCACCTCTTCAGAGGTTCATGGTGCTCCTGCTGAAGTGGTATTTTGTTCTGTTCTAAATGATGACCGTGACCAAAACCTGACATGTTCCAATTTGCTCTCCTTAGAGATTACATCTATTACAACGATGTGTATGCATTCAATTTGGACTCCTTCACGTGGAGCAAGCTGGCTCCATCAGGAATTGGGCCTGCTCCAAGGTCAGGATGTCAAATGGCTACCACACCTGAGGGCAGCATAGTCATCTATGGAGGCTACTCGAAACAGGTAGGAGAGACTGTGATAAGCCACTGCAACATTTCCCAAATGCCAAACAAAATAGTCGAGGGAAAAACTAAAGGGCTAAAATGGAAGTTAAATTTAATATTCAAATTACGTAAATAGCACCTTAGTGATTACCTTGACCTGTTGTTGGTTGCAGGGTCCTGTGTCTTGTCTGCTTGGAGGAGGCAGTAGGAGAGCAGAACTCAAATGTGTAATCTGCCACTTCCTTCTGCTCTGTTTCACAAGTGCAGATCTGGTGATCTCATCGTGTAACTGCCCGCTGCTCTGATATTGCTGCATGCCAGGCAGCTGTCAGATGTCCAAAAAAACACTAGCAATGGGAGTGCATGTCAGCCTGTGGTTGTGTGTGGAGTGACTGTGCAGTTGTGCCCTTGTGCTGTTCATACATGGGATGGTTCAGGCTGCTGGGAGCCAGTATTGTTACCAAATGTGTCTTCTTGTCTTCTGACTCTTTTCCCTTTGTTCATGCAGTTGTGTCCTGATCAAGAGTCTGATTTCTGTTAAAACTAATGCTCTATTTTCCCTGCTAATCTAATCCAGCATAGGGAGGTGATGTTACAAAGGAAGGAATAAGCAACTGGGAGAAGTGACATTTCTGATTATTGTTGTCATTGCTGCCAACTTCAGGCATTCTTAGTCAGCACTCAACCATGTTCCAGCACTTGTGGCTTAAAAGCAGCAGTTACCAGGGGCCTTGTATTTACTTGCATCAGGGAAAGGGTTAAGGCAGCTGTGCTTGTTAGCAGACTCAATAAGCCAAAGAAGACTTTTGATGAGTACCAGGCTTCCTCTGCTTTGCTTCTTGCTATGTTAATCGTGGTAATTTATACTGGATAGGCCTTTAGACCGTATGTCCTTATTGACCAAGTATCCCCGTCTCCATGCTGGGTGGGAGGAAGCAAATATTTCATTGAGCAAAAGGCTCCTGCAAAAAAAGCTTTTAATGTTGTGAATGTAGACTGAAGACCTGGATCCTGCTGCTGTCTCAGTGGAAAGGCATTGCTTCCAGGGGGAGGAGGGTGCATTGTTCTTGTGATGTGAATAAACGAACAAAGAAGAAAAGCATGGAAAGAGGAGAGAAAGTAGTCTGTCTGTATATTTAGAAGCATTTGTGCCTCCTCACGGCCTGTGCTGAGGGCTGTAACTCCTCAGATGTGCACTTGATTAAATAGCAGTAGCAGTACAGAGGCATTTTCTGCCCAAAAGGGCTTTGTCTGCTTCCTGTTCCACCACTCCTGAGTGGGAGAAGCCTGCACACTTTACTAGGTTTGGCTCTCTTAGGGCTACTGAAAGTAACTGGGTTTCAAGTGTGTGTGGAGTCCCTTGGAAATATAAAAGTTGACACGTTTTTGCAGTTAGGTCTGTTCTGCTTTATGAGGATAGGCTTTGTTGCACTGCTCTGGGTTGTTTTGAGCTAATAAAAATGAAGTAGAAGGGATAGAGGAATGCAAAGCTGCCGTCAGCCTTCTGCTGTGATAAATGAGCACTCAGCCTTTATGCAGAGTACTGAGCAAGAATAAGAGCTGGATGCAGTTCCTCTTTGGCTTGGCAAACAGCTCTTAGATTAAAACAAGCACTCTTGTTATTAATCTACTTCCTTTGTAGCACAGAGAGCTGAGTCTGCTGCTCTGACGTGCTGTTCCTGTCGTAGGCTTTGCTTGCCTTCTGCAGCACAGGTGAACTTTTGGGCAGGGAGAATGAAGCTGAGCTACAAACTGAGCAAAGCACCAGGCAGTTTTCTTCTTCTTGGGATGCAAAGGCAACAGACTTCAGCATCATCCTGAAAATTTAGTTCAAGATTTAAGTCTTCTGGAATAAACACAGTTGATGTTTGGCTATCTAATTCTCAGTATGTCTTTGGTTGTAACTGATTATGGAGCTGAATCTCTCTGGATTTTCTTTGATGTGAAGAAAATGTTTGGCTTGTGTCCTCCCCACGGAGTCATTGGCAGGGATACTCAGGGGAGGAGTAAGAGATGGAAGATGGAAGAAACAACCCTTAATTGGAAGTAGGCAGGTAGAGAAGACCTGTCCTTTGTCTCTGGTTAGAAGCAGATGCTACATTCAGGAGTATTCTGAATATGTTTTTGGGCTTCACGTGTGGATATGAAATCAGACAGGTGTCCAAACAAAGCGCCGTTTGCCAAGTCCTGTAGACTCTTCTAATTTCCTTTCTAACAAAAAGCAGGATTGATTTTCAGTTTCTCTTCCTACAGCTGCTGCTAAGCTTGTGAGTGCTTTGGAGAGAAGGGAAGAAGTCAGGACTGCTCCTGTGTTGGAGTACCAGGGCAGGACAGGCTGCCAGTTGCTGGAGGAGAGTTACAGTGTGGTAGGGCTGCTTCCCTGCAGTGGGCAGTTCTGATGCGTTGGATCCTGTACAGCCCTGAGCCCTGGTAAATCTGCTTTGAGGCGTTATGTGGTGAGAAATACGCATGTTGTCAAAACAAAAAGGCCTGTAAGCCCAGGAGATTCATAGTAATGGGTGGAATTGTAGGCATTTGTGTACCAAGCTGGCTGTCAGGGCCTTATGAAGCCTGAGCAACGTTGTCAGCTTGCAGCCATGGGTGTTTCCGTGCTCAGTCTGCCCATCCTCAGCCTCCAGCAGAGAGGTTTGCTTGGTACTTCGGTTTGCTTGATATGCATGCCGAGCTGAGCACGGGGGGTCAGTTTTCAGTGATGTTTATCAGTCCAGGCTGTGTTGCTGAATTCCCTTGGTGTCACTTGGCTAAGAGTCTCTTTCATGGCTGGGGAAAAAAGCAGGAAAGATAAATGGCTTGTCTGAGGCATTCCAGTACTTGTGGATAGAGCCAGGGCTGTTACCTTGGGACCCAGGCATGCACTTGCCACTAGATTTTGCTGTTCTAGGATGTTAAGTTCAGGCAGTGAGCAACCAGGATGCAAACAGAGAAGATGGAAAACTTGAGCTTTACAACCCCAACTGTGCAAATTGAATAAGAGCACGCTTGAAAATACATGATCCTTAGCATGTTGGTGTCCTTATGTTCTTCTGCTTTATCTTCAACCCAGAAATGATGAAAGACAACTACTGTGGTTCCTGACAGGAGAGGTTGTTGTAGATTTTTGTCATTGCTCCCTAAATACGCCTCAAAAGCCTGTGAGACACTCAGACTTGCTTTCCTGCTGATCTTAAAGATGTCTTCACCCGTTTTGCTTGCTTGGAATGGGGCTTGCTGCAGCAAGCTGCATTTTTGGCTGTATGAAGCAATGAGACCTCACTATTGCTAGGCAACGTGAGCACACTGTGCCTGGCTGGCACAGCGAATGCAGCCAGGATGTGTTGGAGGCTAACACTGCTCTACCTTGAGGGTGGAAGCAGACCATGAGCCGTGGGAGCTCTGGCACTATCTGTGTGCAGGGCTTTTGGATGCCAAAGTAAGCTAAGGTGTATTTTTTTTTTCTTTTTAATATTTTTTTTCCTCCTTTTAGCAGTGAGCTCTGCTTGTAGTGGATTCTGCTGGGAGATTGCTTGTGGGAGGGCTGAAGGCTGGTCTTGTGGGAAAGCTTCCCTCTGCAGTTCTGCTTGCTAAGGGCCTTCTGTCAGTTGGCTGTATTTTGCCACTGTTGGTCTCTTTTATTAGCTGTGTTTAGCAGCTTATATGCACTCTCTATGCTTCAGTTGCTTTGCTCTTTGAAGGGCTATAACCATGCTTCTTGCTGCCTGTTGCTGGAGCTAGAGGATATCCAAGGCAGCTTTGTGTTTGAAAGCAACCACCTGGGACTCGAGAGCAAGAGGGACAGTGAGGGGACAGGAGGCTCCTGTGGCTGATGGAGCGATTTCCTCAGGGCAGATGAGTGTCCTGGGCTGGGGGTGTTGGCCTCTCTAGTATCAGTGTGCTGCTTGCTACTGAAGTGCCTGCTTTTGAGCCAGTGTGAGTGGGGAAAACAAGCATCTCTGACAACAAATAACTAACTCTCACTCCAGCTCATTGGGTTTTCTTAGCCCGAGAAGCTTTGTCGTGTTGTACACGTAATGTTTACTACAAGGAGCCTGTGTAGTTTCCAGGAGAAAAATAAAGCAGTTATTCTGCCCAGCCTGCACGATGGTGAAGCCAACTGCTCTCTCAGTATATGTTGTTTCCCTTCTTTCCATGCAGACAGTGCTCATCTCACTGTGCTTGACAGCTGTGCTTTGCACCTTTCAGCCTGTGTGTCCCCTACACATAAGAATGTGGTGTGCCTAACACTTAAGTACAAACTGCAGCCTACCTGGGATTGGAAACAAAATAAACCCCCTTTCCATTCTCATTATCAGATATTCACTTTGCAGCCGCTGCTCTGTGTTCAAGCCCTGTGCCCATCTCTCTCCCCATTCCTCTCCTCTGTCCATCCATCCCTGATAGCTCTTTGCTTAGTTGCAGCTTGGAGAGCGTTTGAAGTGAGGGAGAGACTAAAAAGGCTGCTGTAGCTCAGCCATCCACAGCTTGCAGCTTGCTGGAGAGTTCTGCTGCTCTAGACTTCTGTGACAGAGACAGCAAAGTGTGACATGGCTGCAGAATGTTATTTGCTCTGTGCAGTGACTCATAGCCCTTTAAACTTGAGAGCTGCTGCTGTATGTCCCACAATATGTGCTCTTCCAGTACCATGGAACTGCTGTACTCAGTATTTAGAGCTCTGTTCCTAGAAGGCATTTCTTGCCCTGGCAACCTGTTCTGCTCAAAGTGGGCAGCTCCCAGCCCCTCCAGCTGTGTCGCTATTACCAGAGCTCCTCTAGCTATGTGTCAGAACTACTGACCAATGCAAAAACTTGACTTGCTTGTTTTCTGTGTGCTAGAGAACTGGCAGTGGCAGAAGAAGCTGTTTCTGTGCATGTTCCTCTTCAGAAGATAGGCCTATCATTGCTGCTTGCTCCTGCAGGCTTTCTGTCCCAGTGTGCCTGACGTTCTGCTGCTCAAGAACAGGGGGTAGAATAGTGTGGTTGCTGACTTCATTAAGGTTGTGCAGAAGAGGATACCTTCAGCTTCAACAGCCTGTCTAGGAGAGAGGGTCTTCCAGTGTGCTGCTTGGAATGCCTAGATGCAGGTGAAGAGCAAGATCTACAGCCCTAGACTAACATTTCCTAGGGCAGACCCTGGTCTCTGAGTTGACTGAAGCTTCCCTTTCCTTTTTGCTGCTCTTTGAACAGCATTCTCCTGTTTCTTCTAGCACTTTTCCTGGAGCTTCTCAACATCATCCAAGTTCAAGTCTTGTTGTGCAATACCTCAAACGTGCTTTATTCCCCTTCCTTCTCTGCCTTTCTAAGAATCGAGTACCATTCCTGAGAACTGAGTGCTGAGCCATGCAATAGCAAAACCTACTAAGCTCAAGGCACAGGGTTGACTATGGATATGGAGCAAGAAGATGACACTGTGGCATGAACCCAAGCCCTACTCCTTCCCAAGCACTGGGCTCAACCCTGCCAGCTCCTGCTGGGATCTGCTGCCTGGAGCAATGCCATTGCCCCCAGGAGGAGGGGAATTACAAGGAAGCCAGAGCATCTTCTTGGAGGATGGGTGGATTGTGGACATTACTAAAAGACCTCCTGTGGTGGTGTTGCATAGTGCTGCTTTCAAATACTGTGTGTTGCTGTGAGTACAGGGGCTTACAGCGAAAGGAGAAAGGGAAACTTGCATTTAAAAATAATGCATTTAATTCCTTCAGCTGAGACCTGCTGCTTTTGCTGGTGTCTTGCAGTTGTCTGTAGCAGGAGGTTAAAGTGAGGCTTCTGTTTCTATCTGGGAGGGAAAACTGATTCTTAAGACTCTGTGGTGCCTCAAATGCTACTAATGACACCTGCAGCCAGGCTGTGGGGCAGAGAGGACTCTGCTTCTGTTGCGTTGGGGTGGATATTGGGGGTGGCAAGCATTGAGAGTCTGTGCTCAACGCAGATCTGTACTTAAACTTGTGCTGTGCAGATGATACAGCATAGTTGGAGTGCTCAACATTTAAGGACAGCATCCCAGAGGGCCTTGCCAGCACTGTTGGAAGTTACTGTGTGCCACTTTGGTGAGCGGGTATCTGCTCTCTTTTACAGCTAGAGGAGCAGAGGCACAGATGTTAAATTGCTCCCTCAAGAGAACCTGATGCTGTCTGTGGCACAGTAAAAGGCAGAATCTTGGCTCTCCTGTTTCCTTGGTGCTGCCCATCCTTCCTTTCTTGTAACATGATCAGTTTTAATCTCTTGTGCCAATTTATTTCTCCTCTGTGAGTGCCCGGATCTCTGCCCTTGCATTGATTTCATCCTGCAGTCTTCAGGAGCCCACCAGTCCCACGATCTGTGCTGCAGCCTGGAGAGCAGAGGGAGGCTCTGGTTGTTGCAGGCAGAAGTTGCTTGTGGTTTATTACACGTCTCCCACTGCTCACTTGTAGGATGGGACTGAGTGAGGCGTGCTTGAGAATCACAAGACACCAGCCTCCATTTGTCCCTTCTGGCTGCCTCCATTCCCTCTGGATTTGCTGTTTGCTGTAGAAAATGGCCCTGGTTTCAGCACTGCAGTTGTGAAGTGCCTGGTGGTTTCTCCTTGCCCCTATTGCAGTGTTTGCTTTTTCAGCACGGTGATGTACAGATTTAGGCTGTGATAAGGCTTATCTGTGGCACTGAGAGTTCAGAATGGCATGTTTTGGTGTGAGTGACTTCCTAGGCCTTGAAGAGTTGGGCCTCCTGCGTTTTGGCCATTGAAAGTGTTTCACCAAGCATCCCTGTCTTTCCTTTCTTTGCAGAGAGTTAAGAAAGATGTTGACAAAGGCACCCTGCATACAGATATGTTCCTGCTGAAGACTGGAGGCTCAGGCAAAGAGGAAGGTAAGCCACTGCTGCAGCTAGGGGGCTGTGCTGGAAGCGGTGCTGCAAGGCTGTGAATCCTCTCTCTTCCTTTGAATAAGAAACCAAGAAAAAATCCAAGCTCAGAACAAAATTTCCCTTTTAATGGTGAGCACTGTGCCCCAGCTTTTGCTCTGGGGCTAAACACAGCAGATAAGTCGATGTAAGTATTTCTTCTTTCCCAGGAGTAGTTAAGTGCGTTTGTATACTGTGACTCTAGCTTGAAAAGAAAGGAGCTAGAGTGAAGGAATGGCAGCTGCTGAGAGATAGGAGAGAAGTTGTCCTACTTTTTCACTTGGGAATTGGAGAAAGAAGGTGTTCTATCATGTATACAGGCAACATTCCTGCTGCTGGGTTGTGTAGGAGAGAATGGAAACATAGTCTATAGGGCACTCACCTTTTCTTTTTCTCCCTGTCCATTTAAGGCCTGGAAAGATGAGGCCACATCATCTCTGCTAACCAAAGCTTAGTGGTTGGCTGAAGGGTGTTGGGAGTCGTGGTTCCCATCTCAGGTGACTTGATTACAGAGCTGATGTCAGTAGCTCTGTGAAGCAGGCAAAGAACTGGAGCTATGTGAGAAACTTCATGGAGAACTGACAAAGCTAATGGAGGAAGGCTGGGAGGAGCTTTCTGCTGGAGAATCAGCATTATTTACATTGATGTTTTCCAGTTGGCCTTGGAATAGTCTGAGTTGGACTGGAGGGTTTCCAGGCACCTTGCATAACTGTGAGAAGTTCTGACCTGTGCAAGCAGTTCCATAAGAATTACCAGAAGAGATGTTAGGGATTTTTTGGGGGTTTGTATGTAGGAGGAAATTAAAACAACGTTTTGAAATTGCTGTTCCCTGGAACATTCTGATCATTGCTCTTCTGTTTCACAACAGAAAATTGTTGGGATTTCAGAACTTCCCACACTGGAAATTCCTGTTTTCAAGAAGCTGTTTTTAGTAGTGGTGGGTCATCTATAAACTATTAGGAGAGAAGGTGGGGGTGTGATCTCATGAGATTATTCAGTGCAGGGATATTACCAGGAATGGGTTTTGGTTGACTGATTTTTGTTGGGTTTTTTTTCCCCATCTATCTGTGAATACCCTCAGAAATGGGGATTCCATCACTTTCCTTAGGAGAGAGAATTTTGTCCTTGGCTTAAGGAGCAGGATAATCTTCCTTGAGCAGATTTTCCAAGATGTTGAAGTAGTGACAGATTTCTTTAAACCCAGCCATCTTAATGTGGGATTTGGGGAGGAGGGTTGGTCAGGTATTGTCTGGATTGCAGACCCTGCTTGCATGATGTCCTATTTATAGCTTATCTTTTTGAATTTGTGGTTCCTTCAGAAACACAGTGCCTAGCCAGTGCACATGCTTCTGCCAGCCTGCATGTTAGGGATTTGCTCTAAATCCATAGTAAAGGAAAGGAAGGGAGTGAAAGCAGAGGGCTTGGAGCACAAGCTTTCTCCCTCCTGAGTATTTTATTATTATGATGTTTTTTTTTTTTAACATTTGGGGCTCCTTAAAATAAACTGTGGCTGTTCTTGGGGTTAAGGCAGCAGTGCAGAATGACAGAGAAGATACTGAAGTAGGAAGTTCACTTGGAGAGAATTGACGCCGTATGAAACTGGGGTAACCAGAGCACCTTCCCTTGGTGTCCTGGGCTATAATCAATCCTGGTTTGAACTCCAGCTTCCTGTAAAGGTTGTGTACCTTTCATGAGGCCCCTTGCTCCAGAAAGCACGCCCTGCAGACAGCTTTCTTCATTTGCTTTTGTTGGAAACACAGCTGCTTTCTAAGGGTAGAAGGAAATGTGTGGATTGCTTGGGTGATTGAAGTGGAAATGCGAGTGGTTCTGATTTACATGATTGCTGAACACGAGCAGTGCAGTTTTGAGTATGTCTAAAATGGGTTGTTGTGATGCTTGAAAAGATTGCTGGAGAACTGAAGGGTCTTGGAAGATGTAGAAATCATCATGATTCTCTTTTGCTGATAATTCTGTCTCTTTTTATCCATTACCAGATAAGTGGGTATGGACTCGACTCAACCCATCTGGTGTGAAACCCACTCCCAGGTCTGGCTTCTCCGTGGCAATTGGTCCCAATAACCGTTCCCTTCTGTTTGGAGGTGTGCACGATGAAGAAGAGGAAGAGAGCATTGAAGGGGACTTCTTCAATGATATTTATTTCTATGATATTGGGAAAAACCGTTGGTTTCCTGGACAGCTAAAGGTCTTGTTTAAGAACTACACAATTGTCTTCACTTCATTCTCCTTGATCTCCCTTGTCTCAACCTTTTCTGGCCTCATTTTGACAGTGTGGGCAAAGCCTCTATGTCAAGGCTGAGCCACCAGGTCTGTTTGCTGCTTTCATCTGTATCTGATTGGCTGTGGAGATGGGAAAAGCTGTCAGGATGATGTTGGGGATGTGCAGCTTAGCAGGTTTTTGTTTCCAGATTGAATTCTCTGACGTTATGCTGCCCTTCTCCTTCCTCTCCACATAGCCCCTTGTATTTTCCATACCCTGCTTTCCCTGTGTGATGCAGACTGTCACCTGGGGAGAGAGGAAACCTCTGAGCCCCAATGGCTGCATATGCACTAAGGAAGAGCGGGTCAGGAAGCAGTCCTCTTCCTTTGAGAGTCAGTCTGCATGTGCCCTCTTGTTGTGTAATGCAAAATGAAGCAAAGCAGCATGAAAACAATTCTGGTGTTTTACTGGAGGCTGGCTCCAGTCTAAGTCCGATGTGAGCTAGTTCAGTAAAAGCTATTGTGAAAAGGTCTTGTGTTGCATTGGGATAAAATAGCCTCCCTCTTTTCTCTGTTGTCAATGACCTGGCAGAAGGGATGAAGTATTGACCCTTGGCTCATGAGAAATTCAGAAATGCGGCCCTCAGATCTTTGGCTTTGTTTGAACCACTCTCAAGGAGGAAGCAAGGTGCAAATGACCTTCTTTCTTTTCATCCCTACTGTTTCTTGCTGCGTCCTCAAAAAAGAGATGTCAATCACATAATAAGAGGCAAACATCCTCTCAGGTGTTTGCTTCTACCTTCCTAGCTCTCTGTTTCCTATCCTTTTTACACAATGCTTTGAAGACCTGGAGTGCTTCCTGATAATGCACTGTAATTTAGCACCCAGCAATTGTTGTGATTTCACAAAATGATGGGTTATTTACTTTTGCTCCTGTCAGAGACCAGTGGACTCTGTGTGTGAGTGTGTGTGTGTGTGTGTGTGTGTGTGTGTGTGTGTGTACACCTGCAAGATACAGAACAAGAGAGCTGTCTTCCCTCTCCCCAGCAGTTCTGCCATTAATAGATGTGGCCACTCCATGCTGTAGGTTCTCCAGAGGTTTCACTGCTGCCTGTTTTATGGCTGGAAGAAGTTCATGCTTAGTAGGAGGTTGTAGCTATCATCCAAGACTTACAATTCTAGTGAAAAATAATTGAATTCTCCCCATTCCCTCACAGCAGCATCTGTAAGATTGTATTAACTGCTCTGTGCTATTAGCTACACCCAGTTCACACGCAGTCTGCCTCTGCTCCTTGTTCTTATTAACAGGGATCGAAGTCAGAGAAGAGGAAGAGAAGACGTGGCAGACGAGCTGAGACAGACGGTGGAGATGATGAGGTAGAGAAGCAAACCCCACAAGGCCCGGTGGAAATAGTCAAAGAGGTGGTGGCAGAAGATGGAACTGTCATGACGATCAAGCAGGTGATCTGTGGGCCTGCAGATGAGAAGGAGAGGTCTGAATCGGAGGAGGAGGAGGAGGAAGGCGCAGCCTTGGGCCCGCAAGTGGAACCATGCCCACGTTCAAACGCCATGCTGGCAGTGAAGCATGGGGTTCTGTATGTGTATGGAGGAATGTTTGAGGTGGGCGATCGCCAGTTCACCCTCAGTGACCTCTACAGCATCGACCTGCACAAGATGGAAGAGTGGAAAGTGCTGGTGGAGATAGACCCAAGTAAGCTCTGGTGGCAGGGGGGCTGTGTGACTCTATTGCAATAAAGGCTGGGATGTTGTTTCCAGCAGTGCTCTGTTTTATTCCTGGAAGGAAATAGCTTGAAAGTATGTGATATGCAGTGTCTTGTAGTCTCTACCACCACAAAAGCCTGTGGTCTTGTCACAAAAGCTCTTGTCCAGAGCTTTGTAATGGCTATAGAGTATGAACTCTGGTCTGTCTGCTTCAAAAATCAAGGCATGTAAACTGAGCATCTTTGTTCACTGATGGCTGGTTCTAACCTTAGCTCTGCTGTGCAATCTCATGGTCTGCATGTGTGCAATGGATAAAGGGCAGAAAGGAAGGAGTTTTACTGGTAATTTTGGAGCTGGAAGGAGATTTGACTCTTATCAACTTGTCTTCCACAGCTGTTCTGTGCTGTTCACTTCTTCCTGTCTGTGTTAGATCTCTCCCTGCTGTCCCCAACTTATTTCTTCTTTCTCACCTAAGAAACACAAGAATGGCTGGAGGAGTCAGAGTCAGATGAAGAGGAGGAGGATATGGAAGGTGCAGAAGGAGGAGAAGAAGAAGAAGAGAGCTCTGAAGAGGATAGTGAGGATGAAGAAGGTAACAAGAAGAATGTTTCCTTCATACTAACATAAAATACAGCACTCATTGGGTCACTGACCTCACTGGCATTCAGGTCAGTTTTTCAGCAAAAACAAGGTTTGCATAGTGCGTGCTTCTTAAGGAGTAAAGGAGAAATTGCTTTGGTTCCTGATAGGTTTTCAGGCTATTCCATTTAAACACAAGCTGAAGCACAGCCATGGCTGAGTTGACACATGGGAGAGCAGATTGCTTTCATTAGCTGTGTGTGACCTCTCTTTCTCTCTTCCTCCCGTTGTGTACCAGGAGAGGAGCAACACCCATCTGTTCAGCCTGATGAGAAGCATGCAGACTATCTGTCCAGGACGGAGCAGCACTGGATCAAAGTAGCCCGCAGCAACATGGGCCCGGATGCCAAGGAGAAGAAGGTGGTGAAAGTGGCTCATGCCATGGCAAAGACATTCTATGAAGATTCAACCTAGGGCTGTTCTGCGAGTGCAGAAACGTGCTGGGAGCAGTGGTTCGCCCTGCTGAAATCAGCCTGATGTGCCAGGCGGTCAGTGTGTGCCCACAAGGCTTCCTGGCACTCCAACCCTTGCATACTCCATATGAGTGCCTCTGGACTGACTAATCTCAATATGCCTGCTGGGTTATTGCTCGGAATATACTGTTATTCCCCTGGCTGGTTGTGGGAGGGACTTGGGGAACAGGATTACTGCCTAAGCTCTGGTTCTTCTGAGAACGGAGCATACAAGACCATCATCATTTTGTTCAGAAGTTATTTTGAGTCTGTGAAGGCAAACTGCGTATCTCACAATGGTTCTCTAGTCCCAAATTCCTTATCCTAACTGGGGCCAGAACTTGTCTCCAAGGATTTCTACAATAAACTTACTTGGTTACATGATGTCGGTTCTCTTAATTAATCCCATCCTTGCTTTACTTTTCATTTTAGCTCCTGCCTGTGGGGAAAAATGATTGCTGTCTCCTCTTGGAAATATGCAGGTAGTGGTCATAACGTGCACCAGCAGCCCTGAGGTGTGGCTGTATTATTGGGAGAAACTTGGTGATCCTTTGTATGAGAACCACTGTAACTCCTGATGTGTTGCAGCAAGTCTTTCCCTTTTCAGTATTGGGCATAGCAGGTTTGCTTTTTGCATGTGGAATCCCCCACTTCATTTTCTCACAGTTTGGTCAAGAAAGCAGTAGTGCTGCAAAGGAACTCTTTGTGACCAGTGAGAAGTCCTACCTTGAGACTTGACAGCCTGTTGAAGTCCACAACCAGCAGGCTCACACTCTCAAAAGGATGTTTTTTATCCCTTTTTTTCTTGATTCAGCCCTTCTCAAAGCATTTCTTTCTTTGCAGCAGAGCAGTACTGTAGTCCATAGGGACAACAGATGGGATACAAGCGTGTCTGTTGCAGCAAACAATTGATGACTTGAGTTGACACCAGAAGGCACTGACTGTTCTTGTGCAGAAGGATGCAGAGTGCTGTGGGTGTTGTCTTGGTGGGGGCATCGCCAGGGAGCCAGCTTTCAGGTGAGCAGTGCTAGGCTCTACAACACTAAGATGTAACAAAGATTAAATAGAGCTGGCTTCCTGCGTGCTTAAATTGTCAAGATAGAAACCCATTTGACAGGGAGGAGCCCTGTATGCAGAATAACAGGAGAGTGCTGCCTTCCCAATGCTCTTCTTGCTGTGCTGTGAGGTTGGGATGAGCCTGCATAGGCTGAGGTTGGTTGTATGATCTGGTGCAGGTGGTGCTGATGGCCATTCTTAGGCTGTGTGATGAGGGGATGCTGCCATGAGCTCAAAACTGAGGCCTGGCTGTCAGCTCTGATGAAATGAGGCTGTAGTGCTGAATGGGGACAGCCTGCCTGGGGACTGGAACGCACACAGTGTGCTCTCTGGAGCATTTGCAGCCATTGGACTTGAGAGTGAAATCAATTCTAGTGCATCTACAGCTGCTGCTCAGCAGAACAAATGAGACGAGCGCAGTCAGCAACAGCCTCAAGGTCTGTCTGGGCCCATCTCGTGCTGGGCAAGGCTCAGGAGCTCTCACTTGTTGATTGAAAATTAAAACCTCTGAAAAAGGGACTTTTTTGGTGTGTGATGGACACCAAAGCAGGGATGCCTGATCATTACTATTATGCTAAGTGCTTACAGAGGAGGCCAGAATGTGTATTGGTATCTCAGTCTTCTGAATGTTGGCTGAAAGTCTACAGAAGCCTGCTGTTGGATCAGATAGCTGGTGGTTTTCCACGCTGTAGATCCAGAAGGACCTTAAAGAAGGAGGTGAGTGTTTCACAGGCACACATCAGTGCAGTGACCTAAAATGGTACCCAGGGGATGGGCTGGAGCTGGAGCTCGGTGGAAAACTTGGAGCTGGGAAACTCTCACAATGTCTGTCATAACAAGAGTTGTTCCTGTCTGACGTGCACAAAGAACAGCTTGTGCTTTTTCAATGTATGAGCAGAACACTCTGATAAAATCCAATTATTCCTTTGGCATCCATCAGATCGTTATGTTTGCCCATCTTATTGTAAAGGAGTGAACGTGTCAACATTTACATAGCAGAAAGAGACCTCAGTTTATTCTTATATCTGGAAATAGTCAAGCTGTTGTGTTGGGATTTTCCTTGCGTTTGTTTTGCTTGTTTTTCAGCTAAAAGGCAAATCTGAAAGCTAAGGACATCACCTGCTGTTTTTTCAGGAAACTCTTCAGGAATTCCTTTTCCTTTGGGCCTCACACACATTGTAACCCCACTGCAAGCAGCATAGTGAAATGGGATTTTCTGTTGTGTTTACATGCAGAGCTGGGAGGAAAGAAAGGGCATGGGGGACTGCCAGCTGGAATGCCATCCACTTCAAAGGCTGCACAGAAAAGGCTGCAGGAGAAGGTATGTGGCATTGTCTGAGTGCAGCTTAGCTTGCAACACGTGGGATTACTTCTCCCATCCGTGTGTTTGTTTCAGCATAACAGGAGCGTGGAAGCAAATGAGCTGTGGGGAAACTGGGAAACTGGGCTGACCCAGAGCTCAACGCTGTTTGAAGGTAGAAGGACAGTTCTTCACGTCCCTGTTTTCATGAGGCTGTGCTAACAGCAAAAACAAAGTTTGGTTGTGCTGAGCGCTGTGCTCCTCATTGTCCCACAAGCTGCTGCTCATAGGTGTGCTGTACCTGTAACTGCCAGAGCAGCAGAGCCATCTGGGGGGCTCAAGGAACTGACTTCTGCTGCAGGATCACTAAAACACCCCTGACAGCCTAAACACCTTCAGCTATTCGTGTGCACCTGATGGCATGGACGTAATACAGCAGGTATGGACAATTTATGTAGATTTATGAGCCTTGATGACAGATGTTTTCATGTGCCTTGGGTAGGTATGCATGAATCCAGGGCTCGTAAGGCAGAGAAATGCTCTGAATTACCTCTCTCTGGGCTTCCTCTCAAGAATATTTCTGGCCTTGGGCTAATGTGGAAAGCTCAGAACTAAGACAAATTGCTCAGCTCCCTATGATTAATAAAGGGATCGTTATTTTTAAGCACGTGGTGTGGGAGCCAATTAATATCAGTCTGTGGCTGTCTCTTGTGCTGAACCTCAGCTTGACCAAGGATTTGTACCCAGGAACAAAAGGATGGAAAATCAGAGTTGTGTTTGCTGTGCTGGGTTGGCAAATAAGGCGAAAGCAGGAACAAGTGGGTCTGCAGCCTGGAAAAGCTACTTGTGAAATGAGTGCTACCTCTATGTGATGGGTAATGAGGCATTTTTGCACTGTTTCATGCCTATCTAAATATCAGGCTGTTTGCAGGGGAGCGTTTGACCCACTTCAATGGGATCCTTGTGTCATGCACTCACCAGACATCCATAAAAAAACTTCTCCAGAGTCCTTAAGAAGAGCTGCATCCAGCATTACAAAACACAGCGCAGCACGGATGAGTGCCTGAGGCTGCATCCCAATACGTTGCTGTTGGGTTCATCTCGGGTAGGCAGCATCCAACCACAATATATCACTGTTGGGTTCATTTCAGGTAGGTGGTGACCACTGAAGGGTAAAAAGGATGACTGAGGAGCAAAGAGGAATTGCCAAAAAGTGACGAGGTGCCAAGAGGATGGAGAGTTACGGTGGAACGTGCCTTGGGAGATGTGCTGGTGTCACCTGCCCTCTGCCTGAAAGGGAGCTGTGGAGGAAGGAAAGCTGCGACAGGGAGCGAGAAAGACCATGTAAGGAAAAGAACTGAATTTAACTGGCACATGCTCTAATCCTTAGTTTATTTCTGGTTAAAAATATAGCAATCCAGTGCAGTGTAATAAGAAATCTGCTGAAAAGGTAGCAGAGAAACAGCTAAAACAGAAGCGAAGCAAAGCGGAGTCCGCTGCTCCCCACAGCATTGCATGTGGCACGCAGAGCAGGGCCCCCGTGGGTCACATCCTGCCTCGGGGGCACAGGGTGATGTCCTTGGCCATGGCCAACCCAAATCGTGTCTGTGGGGGCTGGGAGGAGACCTGGTGGCGGGGCAGGACGGCATGGGGAACCGGGCGTGGGGACATCAGCCTTGACCAAGCCAGGACCACGCTCCTGTGATGGGGACCATAACAGCTCAGAACAGGGATACGGCATCTTTAATGAGTATGCATATTATTGGTGGGGAGAGGGGAGGGGAGAAAATCAAGGCAGGCATATTACAAAGATGGTATAAACAAACGAATCGAGTGACATAGAAAAGAAAGAAAAGAATACATCCTTAGAGGCTGCCATTGCCAATGATGTTGGTTTTTTCTTTTTTTCTCCTTTTTTTTTTTTTTTTTTTTTTTTTTTTTTTTTCTTTACAGGGACATGTTGGAAGCTGGAATATACATCCTGCATTACAAAGTGCAAAATACTACATGCTCAGAGCCCAAGCATGATGTCTGAAACAGTCCACAGCAAGATGTAAGGGACAAACCCACCACCCTCTCCCTCCTTTCTGGCACATGCTCCAGTGCTCCTCCCCAGATGCCATGTAAAAAAAAAAAAAAAAAAAAAACAAAAACAAAATAAAACAAAACAAAAAAAAAACCAAAAAAATACAACTTTTTATCTTATTTTGCTTAATTTTACTATTATTACTTTTTTTTTTATATACTAGGTGGATCAGAATCGAGCCTCTCTTGCTGCCGATCTGCTCCCTGGCATCTCTGTGGTTGGGTTGGGATGCTCAGCTCCACTCGGGTCACTGGAGATGCCTGCACGAGTTTGGGGGCCCTGGGCACGACGCCGAGCCAGAAGGAAGAGCTGTGAGCAGCACTCAGCCTTGGGAGGTGAGCCAGCCCTGCTGCGTGGGGACGGGGCTGAGGGCAGGAGTGTTTTCCCCCAATTTCCCCCTAAGGAATTCTGCAAGACACTGTTTGCAGCTTGGTTTTGACAACAAAGAACAGAACGGGGCTGGGTGCTGCTTCCCATCCTTCACATCCCGGCAGGGCTTGTGCCTTCCTGTGCTCCTCTCCTCCATTCACAACCAGCCACCTGCTTTGGTTTTTCTCTCCCATTTCCTCTCTCTTGAAAGCTGTTGGATCCCCCCAGGAAGCTCAGCCCGGAGCATCCCAGGATCCACACACCCTCACACCCATCCCCTCCTCAATCTCCATTTGGGGTCGGTCACCATTGTTACAAAATACATTTTGGGGGGTGAGGGGAAGAGGAAGGGAAACGAGGTTTTCTTTTTTTTTTTTTTTTTGTTGGGATTCCTTCTCATCCTTTCCAGTGTTGGGGGGGCAGAGTGTTGATAGCATTTTTGCCATGCCACACAGCATAGTGTTATACAAGCAAAGAATTTTTGGCTAAAATCCAAAAAACATCACCCAGGAAAAAAAGGCAAACTGTGAGTGAGACTCGATCGTTTGTTGTTCTTCTGTGAAAAGACTTGGAAATTGTCGTAGGACAGTTCAAGTTATGATTTTCCCTTTTTTGTTGTTTGTTTTTTTTTGTTTTTTTAACCCCCCATTCATACATGTAACTGTTATTTTTGCAAACAAGACAGTCTTGAATTAGATGAAAAAGTTAATAAACAAAATGGCGACTCCAATATTTAGTAAGATCACCATGACTACCAAGATGGGAGCTGAGCCCTGCAAGAGAAAGAGAAGGAAACGAGTTAGAAGGAGCCCAAAGCACTGCAGATCCTCACCCCTCCTGCTGGGACATCTTGTGCTGGTGACAATTCCATGTGGATCCCAGTGAGTGCACCCATCTACTGCAGTGTTATTTGCTTATGGGCTCTGCCTGGGTCATGTGTGTAGGAAATCTGGCTTTAGCAGAGAAGACTTGATAGCAGTTGAGGTGGTAACTGAAGGAAGAAACAGTTAAAAAAAAAATTGAGTTGGGTTTTAGAGTTGTTGGGGGCGGTTTGGAGGAGTCTCCAAGGGATGTTTTCCAATGATTGCAGTTGCTGTACAGACATCCTGTTGATAGCAAAGGCTGGCACGCTGCTCTGCGTCAAGGCAGTGTTTTGGACAGCCCTGATGATCTGCTCTGGGCTCCACAGCAAATTCTATTGGGGGGCTGTTTGGGAAACATCCCAGCGTGGTTGCACCTGCCTGGGGTGGCACTTCCAGCCTGGGATGAGCATTGCATGAGCTGCTTCTCTGAGTCCCCTTTGCAGCTGCCAAGGGTGTTGAGTCTGCTGGACCCCAATGGGGCAACAGGAAGGGACTGCACAACATTCCCTGTCCTAAAGTGATAGCAGGGAGAGCTGCGTGCAGGTGGGTGGCAGCTATTTCTTGGTGTCGCTGCATCCTCATCTGTTCTCACTGCTGCAGAGCTATGCTGCCTCTACCAGCCTGCAGTGGTGCAGGTGGTTCCTCTGTGCTGTACCAGAGCCCCTGTGCCCATCCAGGTGGCACGGGGCAGGGCTGTAGGCACAACTGTGAGAAAATCCTTGCACCGGTGCTGCTGGAAGAAACGCTCCGTGCCGGACACAGCGGGTTCCTCCTCTGAGCAATCTGATTCAGTTTGCATTGGGAGTGGGTGGGAGTGAGGATGCTGGAGCTTGCTGGAAAGGCATAGCTGTAGCTTAGCAACAGGGTCAGAGGGAGCTGAGCAGAGGGAGGGATGGCAGGGAACGGCTGTTGGCAGCCAGGTACCCCCCTGGCTGCTCCCAGCCACCTCCATCTGCACTGCCTGAGCTTGGGAGCCACAACCCGGCCCTGCTGCTGCCAGGTGCTGCAGTGCACGATTTAATTTGGGGGTTTTAGCTCCGTTGCAGAAGATTACTGGGTTTTGTGATTTTTGAGCTCGTGTCAAATGCAATCACAGATTGTGAGCGATGATCGCTGCTGTTGTTTTTGTTGGCAGAGCAGTGTGGAGACACAAAAGGCATTTGGTTTCCTTCACCTCGCAGCCAGGGCTGCTCCCTGGCACACTGACATCAGCTGTGGTCCACGCACAGCTCCGTGTCCCTGCCAAAGGGCAGTGACCATTTCTGCCCTGCTCTGCCCATTGGATCGCCTCGACGACGTGCACACTTAGGATGCAAACTTACCCAGCAGTGCCATGAGCCCCTGCTGCTCTGGATGCTCTCTCCTCCCAGCTAAGGCCATGCGTAGGATTCCTAATTCCGTGATATCTGAGCTTTATCCTCACCTGGGGATAAACCCGGTGCTCTGGCTCACATTACAGCACTTTGGTACCTGAGGCTGGGGAGGGATTTATCTGGGTGAGCCCTCAGCCAGAGAACTGCAAGAGTCAACCACCCAAGCACACGCCTGCTGGCACCAGCATCACCTGGGCTCCCTTATATGAATGTTCTGCTCTGATCTGCACCTGTTTGCATCTTGCATTTCAGCGCAGAGCCAAGAGCCAACACTTGCTTTGCTGCTGTACAGCTGGACTCTTCTATGTTCTCCTCTCCCCTCCCAGCACTCCTCCCAGGGCTGGTACCCACTGGCCTTACAGTGCATTCCCTGGCAGGGGCTGGAGCCCTGCCTGCAGCAGCTGCCCACATAAGCAGCTTTGGGACATTAAAGCTTCTGTTTTAGCTCCAATTACAAATCCTACTGCACTTCTCAATGCTTACATCTGGCTTATTTCTAACTCGTGAGGTCTTTGTGCCTTTGCTCAGGGCAAGTACTTGCCCTTCTCCCTTTGGATGGCAGAGGTGTCCTGAGAGATGTCTCATCTGCTTCTAAGCCATGATTCCTTTTTTCCCATCGTGGGATGATGGGCAAATTTCATCAGCACGGCAGCTCTGGGGCACAAATAATAAGATCTTTATAATAAGATCCCTGGGCTCCTTTGTGGGAGAAAGAAAACAGCTGTCAAGGTTATGAAAGGTAGGGGTACCAGCAGGTGCTGGGGCTCCTGCAAATGCAGGGATCAGCTGTGGAAACTCCAGGCTTTCCTCCCGAGTTGAACAAGCCAAAGCACAGATCCCAAGCCTTGGAAATGCCAAAAAGTGAACAACCCCTCCTTATGGCACAGCAGTGATCTTGTGAATGCTTCCATCACAATGGGGCATCTTTTGGCGTCTCCCATTGTGGCATCACCACTCCTTCCCCCATTGCTTTGTTTGTGTGTTCTGCTGGGGTTTTTTTCTCCTTTAACCGTTGTGTAGCAACTTGAGTCTTACCAGGAACACATGGGACAGCTGGTTTACAAATTAATTATGCCACAACCGTATTTAAGTATTAACAATCCATTATTATCAGTTATCGCAGGGACACGAGCTTCATCTCTGCCATGGAAACCATCATGCAGGTTACCTAGGAATCCCTTTGGGATCTGTTAGGTGTAATTACCAAGGGCTTGGATCAGCAAAAAGCATACAGGTGTTGTTTTCCAGCCTCAGCACTACAAGAAATGCTGAAAACTTCACAGCTGGGTGACATTAGTGCTGAATTGTCACCTCATTGCCAGGCATGGGATGCTGTGACACAACTCAGGAGTGCTCAGCAAGGGCAGAAGGGGGGCTGGCTTTGGTAAGGGGGTGGCAGGTTCAGGATTTTGGTGTTGTTTTGGTCAGGAGGTGGCATTTGGTCTCAGCTCTCTCAGGAAGGGATGCAGAGGTGGGGGATGGCACAGAGAGCTGCGCTCCTCAGCTCCATCTGAGGGCCCTGAGACGGAATGGATGGGGAAGGGACACCGCTGGGTTCAGCATCACGTTGTTCTCTGAACGCTATTTGTGTTGTGTTGGTGTAAGTAAAGCCTGCGTGTGGAAGAGATCAGAGGAAGAACAGATTTAAGAAGCAAGAAGCCCAAAACTCAGCATGCACCGCAGTCCATCTCTGTGCCAGCAGCTGCCCCCCAAAATTGGGGGGGGGGGGGACGGGGAGGGGGCTTGGTGGAAAAGGGAGGAAAGAAAGGAAGAGAGAGAAAGGAAAGAAAGAAAAATCCGAGATAGAAAGCGGAGAGGACACAGCGCTCAGCCCCACGGATGCCAACCAAAAAGCATCCCCGGGTGCTTTTTGCAGCACCCAGAGATGCAGGCAGAGCTTTGCCATCTGCTGCTTTAACCAAAATGCGGGGCTGGGGGTTGGAGGGGGGGGGTGGGGTGGTCCATGCGATCTGCCTTCCGCACGCCGCCGCGGTGCGGCTCCGGCAGAGCCGGCTGCACATTGGCTGCCTCCTCCCTGCTCTCCCCAGCGACAGGGAAACCTGCTCGGAATACATGGGTGGGAAATGCGCAGGCAGCGGGCGGGGGGATGCTGCAGCTCCTGCGTCCTCCTGCCTGGCACGGGGGGGGGGGGGGGTGGATTTGTGCCGTCCGTAACCTGCAGACGGTTCGCAGACCCCTGCTCGCCCTTTGTCATAAGAAGCAACGCCATCAGCACGGGCTGCGACCGCGGAGATCGCATCTGACAATGGATCGGGATGTCAGGAGCGGATGGGGCTCTTTTTTTTTTGGTTCCTGCCCCACTATCAGGCTTTCTCAGTGCGGGGATTTTAAAGGGCCAAGCACCCAGCCTGCTCGCATCCCGCTGCCTTCTGCCCCTGAATGAGGACAGGCAGATGGGGGCTCCTTCCCACAGCTGTGCTGGGGACCCACGGCCCTGAAGTGTTCCTTTTTGGGGGCTGCAGATGTTCAGCACCTGCTGAAAAGGGTTCTGTTCTTTTTTTCTTTCCACCTCAGTCCTAAAAATACAGCCTGATGGATAAAAGGAGCTGCTGGCCTCTTAGAAACCTTTCCCCTTCCAGCAGCTCAGCAATTCCTTTCCTCCTTTCCTTTCCTTTAGGCCATTTCAAAGGCTCCAGGAACCCGCTCGGACACAGGCTTGAGCTCTGTGCCTTGTGGTTCTCAGGGCCAGAATGGACAGTGATGTTTATATAAGTTATATTAACCCGAGAATGCTGGTCCCAACGCACTGCTTTATGCTTTCATCCAGGTGATGAAAGAGGCTCATTCTGTACGCACACACACACAGATCAGGCGGCTCCAAGCGCAATGTTTTGCTGTGACCCCCTGACAGCAGAGCACCAAGCATGGAGCAGGAAACGGCCTTACAGGGGAATGGAAACCAAGGGAACCCAGCTCAGAAGGGCAGAGAGGAAGGGGCAGGCGAGGTCACAGCAGTGCTGGTAGGATGGGACGTGGGGGTGGCACACGGCTGCCCCTGCTCACCACCCCTCGCTGCTGCCCAGCCGCTGCAGCCGCCCCTGCAAGCGCACTGCTGTGTGCTAGAACAAATTGTTGCTGGCATTGTGGGTTATTTAAATCTGCATATTATCCCTTCCTCTGTATTACATTAGCTTCCTCCCAAACCTCCGCCATCTGTTCCACCCTCGGTTATGAATGTGAGAAAACTGAACATGCTGCTTCGCAGCTACAGCACTTCAAAGGACGACGTGCAGCCTAATGGCTGTTCTGGGCACCGCCTGGCCTTCACCCCGAATTGCCATCGCTGTGATGCTGCCTTGGGATCTGTGCATCCAAAGCTGCAGCTCGTACTGGGAGCACTGGTTTTGCCGGGCTGGCAGGCTGCAACCTGCAGTCTACCAGCAGACACGCTGCCTTCATCTCCTCTGAAATGCTGTGTGGGTGCTTTGGAGCCTGTGCTGAAGCTTGCAGGATGGATAGGAAGGCAGAAAGCTACAGGGCTGCATGTGGGGGTGATTTATCATGGCAGGCCTGCAGCATCCTGGCTGCTCACGGGCTGAGATGCCACTGTTTCCTTCTCCCACCCATCTGTTCCCATCCTCTGGCAGCACAGGACCATCCAGCCCTGCCCGACTCAACGAGGGCCCACATCAGACCACCAGCACTTCACCCAGCACTGCAAAACATGGGGGAGAAGGGAGGCAGCTGTTCTTGGTGTGAGCCCTGCAATCCCCAAACACAATGGCTGGGAAGGACCCAAGAAATCGCAGAGCTCAGCTTCATCCAAGCTGTACCCAAGCTGCAGATGCCCAAGCTGCTCTCGCACCACCTCCTCCCTCCCAGGCACCAGGGAATCGATCCCAGCTCTCAACTCACCAGCGGTTGCTAATGGCTCACCCCTGCCTCTTCTGCTCGCATTTAAGCCCATTAATTCTGTTCAAGAACAGATTATTACTTCCTACATTGCAGCAGCTGTTATACGCTTGAAGATTGCTTTGTCTCTTCTTCTCTAGCCTGAACAACTCCAGCTCTTCCCAGCAGCCATCTCCATTGAGCCCCTCTCATCCCGAAATGAAGAACCCACAGGTGTCCCATGGGCTGTTATCCAAATCCCACAGGCTGTGCTGCTGGAAGCAGGCTCATGCTCTTCTCCCTGACTTGTAGAGCTCCTGGCTAGCCCATCACCCTCATTGTAGTTGCCCATTGCTTTCCCTGCCTGAATTGCATCCACCTGCCTGCACGGACTGAGCCCAACCCATTTGTGACATGCCCTGCTCCACCTGGTTCAGGTCCCCGGTACAACACGGTGACAAAGACACTGCTTTGGCATCACACAGCAGTGGAGAGGTGCTGCAGGTCAACGCAATGCCCAACCACCACGAATTGAGCAGGAATGTCATGCCACGCTTTTGGGTCATATCATGCTCCTGGGCCATATGACGCTCTTGGGTCACGTTGCAATCTAGAGTTGTGCATCACCCTTGGGTCACATCATGCTCTTGGGTCATGTCACACCACTGGGTCAGTGTCACATCCTTGGGTCATGTCACAACCTGAGCCAGCATGAAGTTCTGTTGCTAAAACCCAACAAGGAAGCGTCACCAAAGCCCCGCCTGCCCTTGCACCTTTCCCCCAGGTGAATACTTCGTGCCCACCAGCTCGCCCGTTCTTATTGCTGGCCCCCAGGGATAGCTTACGAAGCTCAGACTTCCCTGCTTGCATCCTCCAGCGATAAAACCACTGTTCCCACCAAGAGAATCTGCAGAGGAAACCCTGCATCCCCTTCCAGCAGGTACTCCAATGCAGCAAGGGAGAACAGAGGGGAGATTCCAGACACAGACCCATAGCAGTGCAGAACTCACTGCAGTCCCACGACAGCTCCGTACCATCTTTCTCAGCCAGATCTGAACACACAACGTTGCCTACTTACCGTACTGGATTTGAGCGCATCCCCACTGTCCTCTTCAGATTCTAGTGCAACAGGTAAGGATTTCTGTGGCGGGGAGAAGGTTAAGTCCCACCTTAGTAGCCGGGGCTCAGCTTTGTCCCCAAATCTCAGGTTTTCCAGTTTCTGAACCGTAGGCTCGGCAGAGGAAGCTGGCCTGAAATTCTCTTTGTTCTGGGACTTAGACCTCAGTCTCTGAACCCCGAAGCCCCGCTCTTCCCCGCGGTGGTCGTCAGCCATGCTCCTGCAGGCTCCCCCTTTGCTGTAGTGTCTTTTTTGGGTGTGAATCTCTTGCATATACGAATCCATCCTCATGAGGGGCTTCATCTCCATCTCGTAATTGCTCATCTTCTCCTCGTCTAGCTCAAGCAGCTTGGAGCTCCCTGAGCTGTGGTTGTGAGACCTGTGGTGGGAAGTCCAAGAAACCGTGGCTGGGGAATCTGTCCACCTCTCTCTTTGCTTGTGGTTGGAGGCCGAGTGTTTGTGCCCTCCGCTCCGCCCTCGGTAATCTTCGGGGACGTTGGCCGACCCGCTGCGCAGCGTCCCGCTTCTCACGCCGCGCGTCCCGCCCGCCTTCTCTTCGCTCCAACTGTTGGGTCGCAGGTAATCCCCGCCTCGCCCCTCCAGCAACATCTGGATCTCCCCACCCCTCTCTTCGTCCACCGAGACCTGCCTGGAGAAGTGAGCGCTTTTGTTCCTGCAGGAAGGGCCCAGCGGCGGCGTGGAGGAGGGGCTGGCGGGGAAGCTCTGCAGAGGACTGTCCTCCGGGGTCAGGTCGGACGGCGTCGTCCCTTTCCTGTAGAGCTCGGGGCTCTCCTGCTGCAGCGGGGTGCCGGTGGAGAGGACCTCGATGTCGTCGCTCGAGTTCTGGCGTTTGGGTCTCTGGCATTCGAGCCCTTTTCAGGGAGTGGTTGAAGGGGGGAAAGAGAGGGAGGAAAGGAGACAGGGTTATTTCTGTTCATTTTTTAATGACAAAGAGGAGAGATGAGCATTGGGTGGCCAGGAAGCTACAGGGTCGGGTCAGGACTGCGGCAGAGAGGAGCCGTGCACAACTTGTACCACCGGACAGAGAGCGAAGGCGTCACACATCGAGCCCAAGGAGCACCAGGTGGCTTCTCCCTGGGGATGGGCAGCTCAGGAGCAGCTGAGTGTCTTCTGCAGGTGGCGGGTGAGAAGCACGGCGCTTCTCCAAACAACTAAAAACTCTGGGTGCTATGAATCCTTCATGAGACACTACATAATTTCGGAGGGTTGCAAGCCACCAGTGGTTAAGTCTCGTTTTACCCTCTCAAGGCATAGCTGTCCTCAGCTAAAGCCGTGCTAAATTACATGAATAATTTGATAAATATATTAACTGCCTAATGCCCCTGAAATGCATCTAATTGCAATTGCTATGGCTAGACAAGAAATGAGTCTCAAAAAGAAGAACTCAATTTCTTACCGTGGTTTAAAAATTAATGCTCGGAAGCGCCTACTCTAATCTCTATGCTTTCTCTGAGCCATTTGCTCTCGTGCAACTTCTTGGGGAGCTGTGCCTGTGCACCCCGTGATGTGATCTGGATATGTATGGGAGATGCTGATGGATGTCCCCACTGGAGGACTTGCAGGGGAGGCCAGCAGGAGCTTGGAATTTTCCTGCTGAAGTAATTTCTCAGTGGGAAATTGGGCTCCTGATATGTTTTCTTTTCTGTGTTGTTTGCCAACAGGAAATTCTGCTTGTGTTTCGGGACAGCACTCAAACAGCTCGGTCTTAGTTGGTTCCCTGTGAATCTGTGGGAGAATGGGTTTCCCAGGGTTTATCTGGGGTCCCAGGGCGATCCTTGTACCGCTGGGAAATGGAATGAAGTAGAAAGATAGAGCTCACCGCTCTGTTTTTGTGCAGAAAATCTCCCTGAGGGCCTTCTGGGGAAAATACAGGTAGGTGGGCTGCTGGCTGCTGGGGAGATGTTCCCAATTCACATCTTCCTGGCTCACACATGGGAAACTGAGGTGGGGAGGGAATAAAGAGCTACATACGGGAAAGCTACTTGTATGGCTCAGATGCAGCCAGCTGTTGGTGCAGGCTCACCTGATATTAAGGACCGTAGAATCATTCAGGATGGAAAAGACCACTAAGATCACCAAATCCAACCAACCCCACCATCCCAGTGACCACATCCCTCAGTGCCATTTCTCCACGGTTCTGGATCACCCCCAGAGACGGTGACCCCACCACTCCCTGCTCAGCCTATGACAGAGCCTGACTGCTCATGCAGAGGAAGAAATTGTTCCTGATGTGCAACCTGAACCTCCCCTGGTGCAACTTAAGGCCACTTTCTCCTGTCCTCTTGAGCATCCCTGATCGTCTCAGGCTTTGAGCACTCTTCCCCTGTTCAGGTCTCCAGAGTTCTCAATGGAGATGCAAAGACTGGAAAGCTTCCACCAGCTGCAACCTCCAAAGGCAGCCTCAGCCTGCTCACAACTCTGCTCCATCGCCTTCACATCAGCCCAAGGCTCTCACAGCCACCCCGAGCCCTGTGATAGAGGCAAGAAAGGCCCACCATGCTCCTGCATCCTCACCCTAGGATCACAGAACCGTTAAGGTTGGAAAAGACCACTGTGACCATCGAATCCAACCGCTGACCCACCCCACCATGCCCACTAAACAAGTCCCTGCATCCTCACCCCATCTCAAATTTTCCCCACCCAGACCTGTAATGGGCTGAACTATTTCTGCTTCTCCTTCCCTCTGTGTTTTCACCCCCTGCACTGTGCAGCCCTGGCTGGGGCTCGGGGCCGGGCAGCGATGCAGGGCTGCAGGCTGCTCTTTGCAGAGGAACACGACCGATGCATGGTGCCATCCTGCTGGCTTTCGGTACCAAAGGATGTTCAGCAATTATTCTGCTCTAAAATTAGCTGGCAAGCACGTGATGTTCCTGGAAGAACCGTTGTGAGAGCGCTACGGAGGATGCGGAGCACCAAATCTGGATCTCCAGCAGGAGATTTAAGGCAGCCGTGCCTGGCCATGGCACCTTCAAGTAGAGCACGTGCCCCATGTTTTGGGTGGTGTGTTTGTTTTCTAATTGCTTCTAAATGCAAGGTTCTGCCCCCCTTCCCTCATGCATGACCCACCAAGGGGTGAGCGCCAGAAGCACGAGCCCCACCACCAGCTGTGCACTGCATCCCCATCCAGCAGCTAGTAAAAAATGTATTACCTAAAAACATCTTTCTGAGAGGTGGTTTAAAACAGCCAAGAGGAAATGGAGATGAGGAATATCTCAGGGCTGAGGAAGCCCCAGGGACCACACAGCCCTGAGAAAATGCTCAGATCTCCGACAGACAAACTGGAGGTCTGCAGGTAGAGGAGAAGTGTGTTTAAGCAGGGCTGTGCTTTCTACCAGCAAAAATGGGGCTGCGTGGGGCTCTGCAGCAGACCCACTGCATGGGATGGTGGGGTTGAGAGATCCCCTCTGCCTGGCGAGCAGCACCCCGACGTGAGTCACCAGCACCAGCCCTCGAGCAATTAAAGGGAATGAGTAATCTCCAGTTAAAGAGCTGGAGAGGGGAGAAAATAATGACAGACGCCTCCTAATGAGGGTTTGGTGCAGGAAAAGTTTTGAATAAAGCCATTCATACACATTAATTACTATGCTAATTATGGCTGCGGGGACTTGGATAGCTCCCTCCTACCCCTCTACGCGCAGCTTTGGTGGGGCAAATCCCCCCGTGGGCTGAGCATCCTTGGCTTCCTCCTCCCAGAGCCCTTCCTGAGAGAAAACTGCTCAGCTGGGCACTGCCTGCTCCCCCCCACCCTTGGTGGGCAAAACCTGGTAGAAACCATTGAGAAAAGCTGGAAATGAGAGAGGGACATCTGGCTCTGCGCACGTGTAAATGCATACAAGTCCATTGGGCAAACCCTGAGTGCATGTTCCTTGATACCTGTGCACTGAAAGAGCACATAATACACACTTACAAAGCCCAAACTTTCCAAAGAAAGAAGAAACCAATCTCTTGAAGCCATAGGGCTTGAAGCCATAGGGCTTCAAGTGAGTGCTTTTGGGATCAAAAACAGTGAGTGCTTTTGGGGTCATCTGAATTTGCGTGTTGCTTTTGGAGCCACCGGTTTTGTTTTCTGGGCAACCATTGAAGACTATGTGTTAAAAAGTGGAATTGTTTCAATGCAAGGAGCCAAAGTCCCTGCTCTGATAGGGCTGCATGTGTTTGAGTGTTGTGTTGCATATGGGAAAATAAGGCTCCACAAGCTGATGCTCTGGGCACCCAATGGTGCCAGGGAGCTGTGGGCACACAGAGGGTGTGCAGGGCTCATTTTTGCCTGTTCTATTTGTGAACCCTGATATGAGATACGTGCAATGTGGGCTGTCCAGTGAGGCATCACGCACTGACCGTTTTCCCTGTGCTGGAAGGAAGGAGAAAACTCTTTGGCAGTGATCCTGGCGATGCGCGCTTCCTCCTGGGCTTTCTGTGCTGCTGTCATGGCTGCCTCTGCCTTGGCCCGGGAATGGGAGGTCCTGCAAGGCAAGCAGAAAGACAAGGATGTGAGCAGAGGGTCACAGCACTGCTTGGGGTTTCCCTTGGTCCCCCCAAAACCCAACCCAAAGGGTTTGGGCAGAGCTGTGCCCGGTGGTGTTAATGCGTTGCCGCTTTGCGATCTCAGCTCCAAGCGGTTGCAATAGTGGTGATCTTCAGTGGGGACTCTGCGCTGCAAAAAGGGCTGTGTTAAAGGCACGGTGAAGGCTTTGATCTGCAAAGCATCTCCACTTCTGCGTACCGCCTGCCAAAATCTCCATCCCGCATCTCCAGGCTGAGCCCTACAGCAAACCTGAAGGCGAGGAAAGCAGCCAAAGCACAGCAGGGAGAAACCCAGAGAGCACCCAGCAAACCCTAAGGCTCCTGGGACACGATGGAGATCCTGGGGCTGCCCTGCACTCAGCCAACACCGCGTCAGATGGATCAGCACCCACACCCTATTGCACAGAGTGCATCCTCCAGAGGTGTCCCTTCCCCTTAGCGAAGCTCTCGAGGCACTTTAAAAATCCTCCTGTTCCTCCCCGCCCCGGTGCAGGCAGCGATATAAATAGCTCTGCTGATTTCTTTTCCCTCCAAAAGCAGGCCCTCCATCTCCTTTAATCACTTTTTTTTTTTCTTTTTTTTTTTTTTCCCTCCTGCTCTCTGAATTCCCTCTAATTTTTCGACATCTGCTTGGAGAGGAGTTGCCATTTCTGACAGGCTCCTATAAATGGAAAACAAGGCCAGCAACGTGCCTCGCTCCGTGCCACGCGGTGTGAGTGGGAGCGCAGCTGTGCCCCATCACCTCTCTAAGCCCAGGCAGGATGTGAACATCCCCTGTCCCTTTTGTCCTTTGTTTTTAAGTGCCACAGACTTGCCTTTGCTCTAATCAGTGCTTTTTAAAAAATGCAAACCGACTGCTCTGCAGTAATTATAGTATCACAGAATGGCTTGGCTTCGGTTCCAACCTGCCTACCATGGGCAGAGCTGCTGGCCACCACATCGTTTGCTCAGAGCCCCATCCGGCCTGGCCTTGGGCACCTCCAGGGGCAGGGTATCTACAGACAGTGCCAGATGAGGCTTGAAATTAGGATGCTGCCTGCCTGAGATTGTCCTATGGGCACTTCTATGGGAGCGGTCCATCCATCAGCTCACGATGCTCCTCCATCCTCCTCTGCCTCCTCTACCTCCTTGACCCGGGAGCAGTCTGGAGAAGGGCCTGTCCCTGCCGTGCTGCAGTGCTCTCAGACAGCATGCTGCCAGTCCCTGCAGGCCTGGTACAAAGGATTAATAACTGCTGGTGGTGTCTGGACCGCACTCAGCAGGCAGGATTACACGCTGCCGCCAGATCTGCTCCCTGGAGAGGCAGCTGGAGGCAGATAGCTGGAGCTATCTGTCACTTCTTCCAGCACTGTGCCAGCAAAGGAGGCTGGGAGCAGCTTGTGCCGCTCACAAGCAGTCCTGGGGACAGAGGAAGCTGTCTGCAGAATGGAAGAGCATGTTGGAGCAGCCTGCAGGAAGCATCTGTGCCACGCTCTTCTCTCATGGACCCATTGGCTCCCATTTCTTCATTGAGATGGTTCAAAACATCCATCCCCTTGGCGTGGATGACTTTTCATCCCTTTGGCTTCTTGGCTTCCCTTCCCTTTGGTGTCGTTGACTTTCCGTCCCTTTGGGTTGATGGCTTTCCATCCCCCTGGGATGGGTGTCTTTCCAACCTTTTGATGTTAATGGCTTTTCATCCCCTTGAATTGATGGCTTTCCATCTCTTTGGGGTGATGATTTTCCATCCCTTTGGACTGATGGCTTTCCATCCCTGGGAAACTTACTCCAGCATCTTCTGGACCAGTTCTTCCCCATCAGATCAGCCCAGGAACAGCAGCTGCTTGGGGGTTCGACCCGGGCAGAGTTAAAGTCAATTACATTAATTAAGTCATCTCCAATCTAAAATATTTGCAATGCCCACAAAGCAGACAGAGCGCTGACTGCTGCACAGAGGCGCAGGCAGGCTTAATTGTTTGTAATGCTCTCTAAGATGCTTGCAGAGAGACGGCGTCGGAGTGAAAAGCAGAATTATGATGATCTATACGTTGCATAATAAAATACATAAGTATTCCCAAATAAATGCAAGTAATCCAGTTAGTGCTCGCATGACTTTGTCACATACTAAATTTAACAGCTGTCTCCTTTATACATGCCTGCTGCTCGTGGCGTGCACTAAATCTTAATTCCCCAGCTAATTGACTTTCTCTCCATGTAAAGCAGTTCTTCCTCCACAGGCACTGATCTACTCACCTTTCTCAGTCACAGGTGGGGATTTTGCTGGGGTGTTGCCCAACTCTGAAACTGGACAGTAGGTCAGAGGGGCTAAATCCTAGAAACCACAGTCAAAATAAGCTTGAATTTGTCCCTTTGTTGCCTAATCCTGCAATGACCACGCTGGAATAATGCCGTTGTTTGCAAGGACTTGATGCCCCTTGCACCTCATTTCAGCCGTTAGAAGTTGTGCCTCTGCTGGAAGATGCTCCATTAGGTTTCCTCTGCCATTGATGGATGAGTGTGGGAGAAGGATCCCAAGGTAATGGAAATGGGCTCAGTATCGACACACACAAATGCAAAGGGGCTTTGGAGGATGGCTACAGCTTCTAAATCTCATCTTAGCCCACAGAGCATCCAAACAGGATGGTGTCAGAGGCTGGGAAGAGCCAAAGGGGGATGCTGGGGTGGATTGGAGCTCCTGAGACCCATGGGTCTGTTCTGATCCACGAGCGGCTTTGGGCTATTGCATTTATTGGGTTTTGCCAAGCTGACTCACTGCTCTCCTAGACCGGGCGTGCGATCAAACTGGCAGGAGGCACTGGCAGAAGGCAGGGGGAACAGCAACCAAACATTGCTGCAAATCTTTGCAGATCTCTTGCGATTCGGCCAGAAGTGACAGGGGAAAGGATAATACCTGCGAGCGCCTCGTAATGCCAAGTTTATCGGCTCCGGTTAATCTATAAGAAGCTGGAATCAACTGATCTGAAAGGAAGAATGTGGCTTTTCAGGAATGCCAACAGCGACTCCTGCTCGGCTCTGTATGCACTAAGAGCTGAGAGGGCTTTTGCTGCAAAACCGACGCTCAGGGCTGGGTTAGCCATAAAGGAGTGAGCTTTTGTTGGGAAGAAACAAAGGAAAGATAAGACCAGGCAAGGCTTGAGTGGTGTCTATGCTAACAGAGAGCTCTGGCAGGAGAACAAATTTAGACTGGAAATTTGTGGACCATTGGAAATATTTCTGGAATGCAGTCTGATCAGGAGTGGTAAAGGTGATGCTGGGGTTCATCAAAGCGAGGGCTGACGAGAGAGCCATCCTCCGTGCTCCTTTTTCCCTGGTGTTCCTGTAAGGAAAGCAGACTCTCTTCTGAGAAAAAAAGAAGTAACAGACTTTTTGAGAAAAACCTGTCCGGGGCCAAAGGCAGTTGTGTGGAAACTGGGAAATTTGCATCGTTTGTGGCTTAAATGTGACGAAGAATCATATGGGCAACATTTCTGAGCAAGGAGGGCTCTTTCCCAAAATTCATATGGCAGCTGTTGCTGGGGAATTCCATTTCCTTAGCTAACAAAGCCGTCCCTTGCTCAGTGGGATCCTGGCACGCCAGGGAATCACAAAACTGCTGCTGTGCTGCTTCTGTGTGTTGGGGTGGAGACGGCCAGCAATTCCCCCACGGCAGAAAGCTTGGCTCCCATCGGCATCTCCATCACTGCCCCTTGAACTGCCCGATCCTACAGCAAAACGGTGTTGCAATATCTGACAGTGCTCAGCTAATGATCAGAACTGTTCCTAAGGCCTTCTCCTGCGCAGTGTTTTGGGGCCTGATGAGGAGCTCTGCTTGCCCATAGGCACACACAAGCAGTGCGGATGGAGCCGGCAGTGAGCTCATCACAGGCCATAATGAGCAGCCTCAAGTTTTCCTAAGGGAGCAGGCTGGCTCCATTGGATTCACTTTGTCTCTCAGGTCAATATGTAATCAGGCAGCTTTTGTGTTTTGCTTTTTTTTTTTTTTTCCCCCCCTCCAAATGCATCTTTATCCTCCTATTGGAGGAACGTTTTCTCCCTCCATTACAGAGGGTCATGCATTTTTTCAAATGGCAAAATTCAATTAACACAAGGTAGCTGCTGGAAAATACTTTGGGGAAAATTCAGTGAGAGCGTTTCTCGGTGCACAGAAGTCTCAGGGCTCTGCTTTCCTGTTTGGTGGCTGCCTTGGGGCCGACCGCCCGCGTGCACAAAGCTTGCTTGGCTGCAGCATGCTCAGCTGCATTGAGTTGGCTGGGGTTGTTTCACACTCCCATTAGCACAGCTGAGAGCAGGATCTGGCCCTAATTGCAGCAAGCTGAGATGCACTGAGAGCTGTAAAGCAAAAGTCCCTGAGTGATCAATGCCAGTAAACCAACCCTAGAGCTGAGGGAAAGGGGGCGAACACCAATGCAGCCCCAGTCAGGGCAACCCAACCCCTGCCTGGGACCCGCCTCCACCCCAGGGCTGCCTTAAACCCCGATGCTTGGCCACAATTCCCACTCTCCTCCACGGGACAAATGGGGACTGAATTATTAATAGCTGCTGCAGACTGTCTGGCTTCTACCTCTGCGGGAGCACGGCTGATTTAGGGCAGAGCGTGGCCATGTGGTGCTGCTGGGGAGGGCTTCAAACCCATCTTCCATGCCTGTGCCCACAGGGCTCCGGCTCAGCATCCTTTCCCATCCCACATCCAGCACCCTGCTGGCCCTATAAGACCAGCCCCATAGCTGGGGTGGCTGCGAGCCGGGGCTGGGCTCTGTCTAGACGTTTCCTTCAGGGAGTTGAGAGATGGCAGCAATTAACAACCTGTTTGTTATTTTCACTATCTGGCATTTATTGCCCCGATAAAACCCACTCTTAATTCCAGCTTGACTGTTTTCACAGCTCTCCTGGTTGGGTTGTTATTGCACTAGGCTTGCCTTGAGTGATTTGTGAAGGCAGTAATACAGTGCCGGTGTTCAGGGGGTGGAATATTAGACTCACCAATTAGCTATCTGCACATAAATTCCCATTTACCTGCTTATCACAAGCATATCTGCCTTGCCTGCTTCCTCCATCTACTTTTTCCTTTACCATCCCTCCCCTGATGCTGGAATGCTTAATCAAGGAGCAAAAAGCAGCTAATGTGACCCCCTGACATGACGTAATGCAGCCAAAAGCTTCTGTAGCCAGACAAAGCAGGTGCTGTGCACAGCAAGGGGAGCACCTGGCTGCCCAGCTCCAGCCCAAGGAGATGAAGGAAGAACCCACCAAAGCTGCACGTGCAGCCCCCTGGACCCTGAGCCAGATCCTTCTCAGGGCAGGACTAAAAAGGCTGAACGCCTCCATCCTCTCCAGCTCACCTTATTGCCATCATCCCAATTCAGTCACAGGGATGCTTGTATTTTTTTTTTTTTGTTATCCCTATCAGTGCTAAACAATAAGTGCCAGCCTGGCACAGCGAAATAGATTTCAGAGGGCTGGGGCATATGGAATCATATAATCATGAAGGTTGGAAAGGCCACTAAGATCATCTAGTCCAACCATCAACCCATATGGGGTGGGTGGACGGCTCTGGTACCCAGTGGCAAATTTACCACTGTTGGCCAGGATGCTCTGCAGTATCCTTCCCAATGAAAGGACAAGCAGAACAGGCCGACCCATGCATCTCTCTCCTGGTGGATTTCCTTCTTTTCCTTTTTGCTCCTGGCAAGGGCAAAGTGAATGGATCTTTCACACCCAAGACTGTGTGCAAGCTGCTGTGAGACGTTATTTACAGCTCCTGAGATAATTAACATCTGGAGAGGGAGTCTCATCTCCTGCCATCTGTCACTTGTAATGAAGCTACAGAGGATGGGGGTGAGTGATGAAGCTGGGCAGCACCTGCCTGTCCTGGCGCTTCGGTCCTACTGGCCCAGAGCTGCGTGCAGGAGTGGAGCTTTGCCTTGAAGGAAGGACAACATTGATGGAGAATGGAGACAGGTGGGAATAAATCCAGCTCCAGGTATGGAGTTTCCCATCTTCTTATAAGCTGGAAACATTTCAGATATGGTATGACTGTGGCATAGGCTGCCCAAAAAAGCTGTGGGTGCCCCATACCTGGAGATGCTCAAGGCCAGGTGGATGGAGCTACGGGCAACCTGACCTGGTGCCTGGTTCAGTAGTTGGCAACCAGCCCACGGCAGGGAGTTGGAACTGGATCGTCTTTGATGTCCCTTCCAACCCAACCGTTCTGTGATTCTCTGCTTGCAGCAACGCTGGGAGGTTCATCAGCTGCTGGAAAATGATGGCAGGTGATGCAAGACCTGCAGGAACGCATTTGGAGCAGGGTGTGGGAAGAGTAGGCTTCAAGGAAAGGGAAGAAATGGGCAGAAGAGATGCGGAGATGTTCTCTTCTTCCAATCACTGTGGGTTGGATGGGGCAGGTTTCCATGTGTTGTGTTTTTTTTGTATAAGTACCCAGGTACATCATGGAAAAGGCCCATTTGAATGATGAGAGGAGAAATGGGAAACATTAAGCTCCCTCTGGTCCCTGCTCTTGTCGAGTGCCTGCAGACAGCCGTCCACGCACACATCCCAAAGGCACAAGCACTCCTCTAACCCTGAGCAAAAATAGCACGTTACAAACGATCCTGCCACTTCCAGGCAGGAGGCAAAACAGGTTGGAAGAAATCACTAACAACCCTTGGCAAGAAAGAGAAGAAGAAAGAACCAAGAAAAAGCAAACGAAGGCACAAAAATCTCAGAGGAACTTGGGCTCTGCTGGATCCTCTGCACACTGCAGATCTATACTGTCTGTATGAAATGCAAAAACAGAGCAGCAGAAAAGCCCGACATCGATGCCGCATTTGGGTGGAGATTTTTAAATGCACAGCAGGCCAAGTTAGAGCTCCCAAAGCAGCCATAACTCAGCCTGCTTGGACACGTGTAGCATTTAGTTTGGCTGTGCATGCTGCTGACTGTAATGACTCCAGGCTGGATCCAGCATTCCTATTGCAGCTCTCTGTCTCCAGGCGAGCCGGCTCCAACATGGCACCGCTTGGGGCCTCCTCCATCCCTGTGCATAGGGGCAGCTGGTTGTTTTGGGAGCCACCACGGATTCGACAGGTGGCAGAGAATCATAGAATCACATAGAATCAGAGAATCATTAAGGTTGGAAAAGACCACCGAGATCATTTAGGCCAACCATTGACCCACCCCACTATGTCCACTAACGGTGCCCCCAAGGCATGACCACGGTGGGGCCGTGCAGGGTGTGGATAGGGGGCTTGGTGTGATGCCAACCATCCACCTGCAGGTGGTCATGCCCTGCAGAGGTGGGATCAGGACTGGATCACCCCAGTCAATAATGAAAGCCAACCTTCTCGAGATAGATGAAAGGTTGGTAGGAAATCCTGGCTTAGTGGGGACCTGGAGGATGGCTGCCCTGTGCTGCAGGTTGAAAGGGTTTGGTGGACCTTCAGCATTCTTCACGAGAAGGCTCCCTAAAACAGCCCATTCCTCCCCATCTTTCACACTGACCTCCTCAGCTGGCTGATGGCACACATGGGATGGAGAGTGGGGTAAAAACTCCAACGCCAGAGATGGAAAGGGCAGAACAGAGAGAGGAATTCAACCCCGGCATGGGCACAGGGAGCTGGGGGAGCCCCTGATTGGACTCCAGGAGAGCCCCAAAGCCCATCCATGAGCCATTGGCACAGCCTGGCCCTTTGGGACATGTTGGAGACTTTCCCTACAGCTGAAGGAAAAGCACTTGGAAGAAGAGAACGTGGGGAAGTCCAGCAAAAAGTTCCAGGTGAAGGAGAAGCTTACGGGCAGGAAAAGCAGATCCATCCATTTAATTTCAGTTTCATTTTGATGCCCGGAAAAGAATGAGTCAACCCAAATTCTGAAGCAAAACGACAGAACCACGAGGAAAAAGCCTTTTTTTCTTTCCCTAACCCTTTTTACCCCTTTTGGGTTTTGGCTGAATTGCTTTGGCAGTTTCACAAGTTTTGGTCTCCTCAAGCAAAACAGACATTTGGCAAACAAGATTCCCAGGCAATTTTTATATTTATTTTGTATATATATGTTATTATATATATATATTATATTATTTTTTTTTTCTGCTGTGGGAGCTCCTGAAGCCTGAAAGACACAGCATGATGTTGAGCTCAAGAGCCATCCTCTGCCTGTAGGATGTGATTGAGAGGGATGCTCTGTGACGTGCCTCTGGCCACACAGCATTGCAACCAGCCAACACTCAGCAGAAACCCACCCACACCGCAAAGCAAACTGCAATAAAGCTTGTCCAGAGCCAGCAACAGACTTGTATCACTGAACTTCATATTTTAGTTCCAG